TTCTCTTCATAACAAATAAATACTGTTGTAAATTGAACTTGGTGATAAATATCTTCCTCTTTGAGTAATAGTCAATCTAGTTGAGCTAAATAATTTTTCCGTCGAAGCACTAGTCTCTACTATGATATGTAATCTTTTGGCTAGTATTGATAATAATGGAAAATTACGACAATTTTCATTAGTAGATCAGAAGTTTTTTGGATCATAAGTCATTAGGCGACTTGATTGTCCTGTAGAGCACACGTCCTGTGACATTATCCGTTCCTGACCATAGTATACCTACAAAATAGTGCGTAACTAAAACTTTATTGATTCATTAACAATCTTATATCCCAAAGAAGCAAAATCCTTCAGTTGTCAACTTGATTTCCGTCTTATTTTCAAGGAAAAGGTAAGTCATCCAATATGAGTATTTGTTTACCAATGCGTTCGACAATTTAAAAGCATGGATATATTGACATTTCATCTGATAGTATTTTCATAAAAAAAAAAATGATCATATTCATTCATCATCGTCAAAAAAGTGCATATTTCGTTTATCATGATTGCCATTCATCCGATACGATGAGACAGGGAAAAGGGTTTTTTTTTCTGTCTATTTTGATCAATATATAAGAAGAAGAAGAAGAAGAAGAAGAATTAATCCTTTATTTTTGTTCATAATTAAATACTAAACGGATTTGATATATGACCTAATGTTGCATCATGTAAACAGCCATTGATAAATTCTGATCTTGTTAAAACTTTATCACTATTTGTATCAAATGTAAGCATGAGTGTGTCTGTATATGATTTTGCATCATCTTCAGATAAACCAAGAATTCGACATAATATACTAAGAATTTTTTTTGCTTCTTTTTTTTCAATTAATTGATTATCATCTATATCATAAACATCGAATGAATATTCAAATTTTTGTTGTTTTGTACCAGCAGTTGTTGCAATATAAGCAATAAGAAATTCTTGAAAATCGATTGTACCTTTAGAAAAGAAAAAAAGAATTTTTTAAATTTTAAAAAATATATATATAAAATTTCAAGACTTTACCTGAATGGTCCATATCAAATGCATGAAAAATATGATCAGTCATTTTATCTAGATTAGGATTTTTTTTTAATTTTGCATAATATATGTGAAATTGTCGTTTATTCATGCGACCAGTATTATTACTTTCGAGACAAAACTCATTAAACCATTGACGAATTTCATCTTCAGTTTTACCACTTGTTTTTCTTATCACATCAATTTCTTTTTGTGTCAATGTACATGAATTTTGTTGGTTACCCATCGACCTCTATTATTCTTTATGCGACGGTTGCATTATATCTATATGAGGATTATTTTTTTCTTTATCTATTTGTTTTTTTCTTTGTATAACGGCCCCGTTGTAACCGAAGTGCATAATAACAAGAAAAAAGGAAAAAATAACCGAATGACAAATGGATCTTGATTCATATTGCCCCTTCATTTAATCTAATACATCATGTATTTACCATAAATACTCGTTAAATGTTTTTTTTTTTACTCTGTTCTTCTATTGTATCAAACAGAATTTTAAGTGCGTCAAGCAATTAGTGATTGTTTATTCGTTGTTTTCGTACTAAATACAGTTAACAAAGAAAATGTGCAAATTTATGTTTGTCGTCAGTGTAATAGAAAGGGCGATTGAAATTTCGCTTTTTTCCTTATCTAACTGGTATGCATGTGCATTGATCAATTACGTAGCGTACTTGAAGTGGATTTCATTTTTTCGGCCTTATGCGCGTCGCATAATGTTGAATAGTATTGTTTCTCTTTCATTATTTGCTTCGATCATGTCCTCGAAAAAAAAAAAGGTTTACTTTTTTTTTTCTTTTTTCGTTTTCTTCTATACCAAAATGAATACGCACGGAAAGTAAGGAAACAAGAAAAAACGCACTTAATAATCATACTTCCCGCTCGCAATTTTATATGTAAGGGCGTGTCAAAGAAATCAATGCGAAGTGAAAGAAAAAAAATGAAGAAGAAAATGAGCAAATATGTGAATGATTGACGATAATGATTGGCAAAAAAAAAGGAGGAATTTATACATTTGAATTTACGTTTATTGATGAAAAATATCGAAAAATCAGCTGAATAATAATTTTACGATAATGCTCAAAAAGAAGTATGATGTTTTGAAAATGTATAAAATTTAACACGAAATGCCATGATTAAATCGACTACGAATATAAACGTTTTTGTTTTGTTATTATTGTTTTTTTCGTCTTGCCATATAGTAACCATTACATAAATCTTCAAACAAAGAATCGAAAAAGAAAATGAGAAAGAGAGAGAGAAAAAATGTCATTCTGAAATAAATAGAATGTTGTGTTGTTGTTTTCTTTTGTAAAGTTCCGGGTCAACCTGTATTTATTCCTTTCGTTGGTTTTCATTTTTTGATGAAAAAAGGGAATGAAATCAGAAATATATATCGTTACATAGAATTAACAAGCAAATAAACGTTATTACATAGTATTACCTTTCTAAAACAAAAGGTTACTAAAAGACTGGTATAGAAAAAAATAAATACATATTATTTGGTTATATTCAAACATTGCCAAGTCGATTAAATCAATACAAAAACGAATAGACCTATTGGATGAAGAGAAAAAAAACACATTTTTTTTTGTCATATTTTTCACTAGTTCCGACCATATATATGCATTCACATGCATGATATCTCACTCGATTTCACCTTCAGTTCGATTAGCATATCTCTATACGCATTAAATAGAAGAGTCTCCATGTAAATAAAAAAGTAAGTTTCTTAAGTCAAACATCATTATTTGAACTGTTATCGTTGTATTCAAATATATTTCCTTGCTTGAATTTTTTTCTCGTTTATTGTCTTATCACCTTCATCATAAAAATGACCAATTTATTTATCTCTTAAGATGGTAAACAGAATATATATTTGCAAACAATGAATCGACTTTCACTTCACCGCTATCGTCTTATCTTCTGTGAACAGGTTAGCAAATCTTTTTTTTTGTATTGTGCTTATCTTCCGTCAAGAGTATGTCTTTTCTTAATGGATCATTGTATTTTTCTTTTAAGTCAAGTTCCATTTCCATTCATTAGACGAAAACATTCGCATTGAAGCGAAATATGAACCAAATGAAGCAAAGCCGATATTGATTGAATTCATAGCGTATAAAATGGAAATTTTACTTGACTAGAGTACAAGAGTCACGTATTGAATAGTCTTTATAAAGAGAGAGCGGCGCCCATTTCTTCAGCATACACATGAAAATATTTTTTTTCTTTCAATATACAAATGATGCGAGTTGTGAGAAGTTCAACACGTACAACGAAGAAATCATATTTTTTTACATGAATCCATCTAGGTTAATGATCATGAGATAATCATGACTAAAAAGAAGAAACAGATTGTTGTGACCTAGTTTTTTTTCTTTTTCAGTTGTGCATAGTAAACGAAAAAAAAAATTGTTAATGTGATCATAGTCTTTGCATTAGCACTTCTTTGTAGAAATAAAGCTTAGCGTGAATATGCGTAATCGATCAAGTGATGTTTGTCGTACGTCTTATCAATGTCATTATTGTTCACAAACAACACCTGTCGATTGTCTACGTATATATATATAAATATGCTCATCGTCTAATTGGATCTGATGATTGAAAGATAATTGTAAAATATAGTGTGACACATGACAATGGTGCCACGGATGGGACATGACAATAAAACGAAAGAAGAGAAGTTCAAAAGACAAGATGAGTTTTTTTTCCTTTTATGTCCTGTTCCGGTCATCTCGGTTCATACACTTTGCATGAAGAACATTGCATGCATATATATATATATATATATAGTGTTCGTTCTTATTTTGAGGTCACCGAGATAAAGACCGAAATATTTATGTGCTAAATGCGTTAGTACGGATATCATTCAACACAATGAATGTGAAAAGAAAGAAAAAAAGAAAAACGAAAAATTTGTTTTACTATCGATGTTATTTCGGACCTTCCTCTTCTCTTTTTTTTCTTTCTGTTGTCGTCTCGACAGGTAGACAGGATGGATGATGATGATGATTATGGAGGGGGAAAAAGAACAGAGCAAGGCCAGTGGGATATATAAATATATGTATGTTCAAAAAGCGACTTGAAATAATACCTTTTCTTTTCTCATCGCCGACTGACCGAAAGCGAGACAGCACAAAAACAGAACGGGATATGTCTTCTGTTGTGAGAGAATAGTGCTCTTGAACTTCCGAGACAGACGATAAAATCAAAAATAACGGATCCTCTTGTTGACCTACAATAAAATTTCAAAGAAAGGAGGTCACTCGTGAGAATTCCCTTTCTTTTCTTTTTCTTTTTTAAATATCAAAAAGAACACTGTGAGTATAATCAATATAAAATATAAAAAAATGTACGTTAGCCTATTTATTACTACTTCCTTGTACTAATTCTCATTCTAATCAAATAAAAAAATGGCACTCAAATAAATGTTCATTACGAACCTGTCTATTTATCTTCTATATAATCAATCAACCGTTGATTCAGCATAAAGGCTTACCTCCTCTTCATTCATTTACTGTAAACACTATTTATTGATGACTGCTAGTTAATGACGTTGCACATATTATTTGATATATCTACCTGTATATCCTATCACATATAATAGAATATTCAATTTTTTGTTCTAGCTGTTCTTTTACTATGATAGGTAAACATACGGAAATAGTTTAAAAAAATTATTATGTAGGAGGTAAGGCTGCTGTTGCCTTTCATCCTGCGTCAACATGGATATCAGTTCGGAGGGAGGGGGAAGAGAGAAAATACTTACATATAAATGAGTATATACTAGTACGTACTTCAAGTAAACATGATTCTTTTCTCCTTGTTCGGTTTTTATTTTCCGTGATTTGTGATGCACCATCGCATTTACTCTTTTTCTTTTTCGTTTTTCTACAATAAGAAACAATCATCAAATATAAAATTTTTTTTTTTTCTATCTTAGTATGGTAGCTACTAATACTGATACTAAAATAGCAAGTACTTCTCCATCAACAAATAATTATTTTATACCATCATTCAAAATGGATTTACCGGGAAATTTACGTAAGAAGTTTTAATAAAAAAAAAATATATTTCTACATATATGACTATAATTTTGATTTAGTTCATCCAATTATTTTATGGACAAAAGATGATGTACAAAAATGGATTGCTTATTGTATTGATGAATATGCATTACGAGATATTAATTTGAATGATTTTGAAATGAATGGTTAGTTAAATAAAATTTAAAAACAAAAATTTTTATTTATTTATTTATTTTCTTTTTTATGATTAATAGGCAAAGCGTTATTATTATTGAATGAAGATGGCTTTAAACAACGTTCATTACGTTGTGGTGATATTTTACATAAAGCTCTTCAACAACATAATGCATTGGTTAAATCGTTGACTTGTCAAAGTAAGTTTTTCTAATTAGAAATTAATTAAAAAAGAAATCAATTTTCTAGTGTTCCCATATCAATTTTGGAGTAATTTTGGTCTTTTTCATCCATCACCTATTCGTCATTTTAATATTCCATTACCACCACCGCCAGCACCACCACCACCTATGCCTTATATGCGACCGGCAGTTAATTATATATTTCATCATCCTGAAAAAAACCATCAAACAGATTTTATGAATTCAAAACAATCAATACGAACACAACAGATACAAAATTCTTCTTCATCATCAAGTTTGTTAATCTGTTTTTTGTCTAATAAAATTTTGTCTTTTTTTTAAATTCGAAAATTTCTATATTTAGTTACGAAACCTTTCGACCAAAATAATTTTTATCAATCAATGACACCTATCAAAGAAGAATTTATAGAACATAAAGATAATGATAAAGTTCCATGTCCATCAATAACATCACATTCAACATTAATTTCTCAACAATTAAATGAATCTAAACCACTAAAAATTCGTTCAGGATTATTTTCAAAAATAAAACAACAATCAAATGATGTTACAGGTACGAATGACAATGATACATCAAGAAAAATTCGTTATTATAATGATCGAGTAGATTTTCATGGTGATATTCTAATGAAACCACAAGCAGCTAAAAGTATAAAATTCTTTATTAGTATTTTTTATCAATAATGATTTATATTTAGATTGTCGTATTCTATGGGAATTTATATATATTTTACTTGAAGATCCATATTATCAATCAATTATTCATTGGGAAAATCGTGAAAAAATGATTTTTCGAATAGTTCAAGCTGATAAACTTGCTGCACTTTGGGGTATATAATTTATTCACATAATAATAATTTATGCTGACTGCAAACACTCAATTTTTCAAGGTTGATAGAAATCATTCTTACTGACATGCATGTTGTACGATTCATTGGAAAATTTGTACTTATCTTCTAATCTGAATAAGTGCTACGTCTAAATCAAATTCTTTCAAAAAACAAGGTTTTCTTGAAAATATTTTAGTATCACTTGCAAATTTTTAATAGCCACACTCACATATTTACAGAAAAAATTTTGTTATGAAAGTTAATTTAGACGTAGTATTACCTCAGTTCAGAAGGTAGGTTATAAATATCTGTAGATATTACTGTGTTTGACCCGAATTTTGAAGGGCATTTATGAAGGCCCAACTTTTTTATGAATCATACTATGTGAATATTAATAAGGTTGATTGTGATAAACATTGAAGAATAGAGTGTTTGGAGTGTTAGCATAAATTATACTAATATACGATTTATTCAAGCGCTAAAATTGACTATGCTTATATTTCCTTATCACTAGGCCTTCAAAAAAATCGTTTATCAATGACCTATGAAAAATTATCACGTGGAATGCGTTATTATTATTCAAATAATATTATTGCAAAAGAACAATCAAAACGTTTATTATATCGTTTTATGCGTTCACCCGATGAAATTCGAAAAACAATGAAACGTAATGTTGATACAACAAATACAGTTTACTCAACAATAAATAAGAAATCTCCATTATCATCGCCATTAACACCTAATCTTCATAGACAAGAATCATCAACTGAAATGTCGAATCGATTTCTTCAACTTTTTTCAGTTCATTCACCATCATCTTCACCAATAACGTCAAATTTAAATCCAGTTAATAATCGATTATTTACGACACCCAATGATTCTATATCAAAAAGTGATCGTTCAAGTTCATCATCACCAGTATCATTTGATAGTAATCATGATAATGAAAAACAATATTGTAGTCTATCACAATCATCTTCATCTATAGCATCAACAAAACGTAAAACAACCATTCCAATATCACTAAATGCCTGTCTATCTCGTAATTATTCTATCGATCAACCACTTGATTTAGTTGTTCATAAAGACGAAGAAAATCACTCAAATTATAAAAAACAAAAGCTTATTTTTAATTCATCGAACATTTGATAAAACAGTGAAAATTTTTTACCATATTTTCCCAGGTGAATGATTTACAGCCAATTTCGCTCGAAAAATGTTAGGAAAGTGGAAGCAGAAATACGGTGTCAGAAGCTAGTGGCCGAATTTTCTCACTCTTGGTAGGAAATATTATTTGCCGAACACCCTTGAAAATAATCATCATAATACTACTTCCAAGTTTCTATCATTTTTCGGTTGGAAAATCACGGAGCTGGACGTCAAATCATTGATGAGCGCTCCTTTCATTTTTTTTCAAATAAAACATCTTAGACTAGTAGCTGTAGATCAGTGTGCATGTGTGGGTGCGTATAATATTATTTATTCTTCTTTTTTCCACCATATTTAATGCGCTATGTGATATAAAAACATTTTCTTCAATTTTAAAAAAAAGTGAAATTACAACTTTGTTGCTTGTCTATGTGTATGTCCCATTAATGGACGACGACAAACAACGAACAACTAAAACAAGCTAATGTATATTGTAGGTTTTTATTTACGTTTTTGTTTTCTTTTTTTTTTTTAATTACTGTATTCTTCTCTATGTATATTGCAAAATATAATGATTTTTTCCCGAGTTTCTTTTTTTATTTACTTAATAATAAAAGAAAGAAAATATCTAAATTAATGAACAATTAAACATGTTATAGTTTTGTAGGTGTTTTTGTTTTTTTGTGTAAAATGACTAATATCTTACATAGCGTATTATTACTGGCAATACGTAACATTTATTTACATTTCTTTGTTTATATGGTGAGGCATGTAAATATAATACAACGAAATACTTTGACATTCGAGTCCTTAATGATCAGCGAGATTTTTTCTTCAAATACAAATAGATTCTCATTATTCAAAATAATGATGAAATTAGAATCAAAATCTACTCGCTATATGAGAAAAATATTTTTCATTAAATCATAATTTTGTGATTACAGATAAAATAGATGATATTCCGAGTTATAAGACATTTCGTCGCTTGCCATGTTAGTTTTAAAGAATCCTGAAGAAGTATCGAGAGTGAGTGGATAATGGTACATAAAAGATCTTTACTTAAATTAGTGACGAAATCTTTCGGTCACTTATGTTTACTATATAATCGATTCAAGATATTTGTCTGTGGGTAAGAAGCTGCCACTCTATAATGTCAATGGAAATGAATTAATTAAAATTTCGTCAAGAAAATATACATATACATCCAATATACAACATTCACTCAGTTCGTTATGACATTCGTTTCACATAATTAGTATTAATTAAACGAATTGGTGCACCTTGACGATATAAATTAGAAATTATTGCTGTTAATTAATATTAAATAGAAAAAAAAAGAGGTACGACATTCTCTCATCATTTTACATTAGCAACAGGTAGAGATGTTCTAGTTGTTGTAAACAACCATACTTCATGATAACAAAAAACTGTTTATTGTATAGTTGTATCCATGGATAGAAAAGAATATCGTGCTTTCATTATAGCTATAGTGATTGTTTTATCGTGCGCTCAATGTTTACTACTTTGAAAAGCATATGATAGATGCGACAAGCGGTTGAAAATTGAAACTTGTATTTTTTTTCTTCATTCTGTTCTTATTTCGAGTTTCTCGACAGCCATCGGGTCTCAGGCATCTGAAAGACTGTATCCTATCGGGCAATCATATTCGGCTCTTCGGTATTTAGCGAAGTGGCGCGTACTTAACGAGAGGAAATCTATAGAAAAAATACTACCAAGTCGTCGAGCATATTTCAACCACTTGAAATTCGATTACTCGAGGAAAAGAAATATATCAGAAGAATACGTACAAATGCTGCAGTAGAAACAAATCGAGCACAATAATAATATTCAATTATTGAGTGTAACTTTTGATTGCATGAAAGTTTTCCAAAAAGGAATTTTTGAAATAGTTTTTACTTTTATTCAATGAACTGTGTAGCTTTATTAATGTTCAGCATATATTTTATCTTAATTTCATAATTTTTGAAACAATATTTAATATGAATCGATAAAAAACAAGATCGAAAGCTATTGCATTTTTGATGAAGATGTATGAATAAATTAATTTTCACTTTTTGAATCTTTGATTTTATACTTAATCGAACTAATCAATTAATTATCAAATCAACTCTTTATATAACACCTGATATTCGAGAAAAAGCTTTCTACTTTAGTCAGAGACGTACAAAATTTATTTTTAAAAATTAGAAAACAACTGTTAATATAACAAATATTGTCGTCAAAATATTATCTATTTATGAATTGAAATGATAACTTTCATAGAAGAAAAATAGTTCATATTTAGTTCAAAAATATTCGACAAAATTGAATACAATATCCTCCTTTTTGTTTTGATCAGCTTTTAATCTATTGACAAAATAACTGTTCGAATGGTTTGTCGAAATAACCAAACGTTGAGTTCTTGGTCTATCGAAAAGTAGACATCCAATGACTTGATGATAGAATTTCGGTGCCTATCAGAAGCTGAAATCTTGATGTATCGAAATGTCTATCGAATGGTTGATTGGGTACAACATGATTTTTCTACCTAGATCAAACAATTCAATTATGAGATCTCGTATGATTCGTACAAAATCGTATTGTAGGATTTTATTTTGAATTCCATATTTATATTCATTAATAAAATTACAAAAAAAAAAAATAAAACATGAACACATACTTATAAAACATAAGCTAAAGAACTAAAAAGAAATTATTTCGATTTCATTAATTGTTTAACTGAAGTATAAAAAACATACTTGCATTGAATAAACCACTAGAAGGATCTAACATAGAAAAGTAAATAATTTAAATGAAAAGAAAAACATACTTCTATTTGATCAAAACGATGAAACTCTGTTTAATGTGTTTTTTTTAACAGACAAGCGTCACTGCACGGAAGATGTGCTTTCAATTCTAAAGGACGTGACATTTAAATAAGAACGTATTTAATCGCTTTAACATATACCCGGTATGCCAAAATGTTTGTAACATTTTTTATTTCGCACATATCTCGATTTATATAAATGATAAAACCTTGACTCTTTTTAAAAGATACATCATCGAAAGCTCTACAAAAGCTGTATGAACAAATTCCTACTGACATACTCTGATGAGTTTTCTATATAATTGAAAGTGAAACTCTACGTAATGTTGTTATTTCCAGTATATAAAGTATTAAAGAAATATTTGAAACATTTTTAAAAGTTATTTTTTTTTAATTTTCAAACAAAGTTTGATAACATGATAATATGATCTTCAAAAAAATATAATGAAATTTTATGATCATCATCACTGTTCATCGACGACCACTTTACCATTATGTTGTTCAACTGAATATATTCTTCGGAGAAATGTACCAATAATAATTTATCGTACATAATTCAAGTCAATTGTTTCCAAGATTTGACAATCTCTACTTGTCAATCATCTCTCGTGTGGACTTTGTTCAAGCAGCTTTTTTAGAGCATTCGAGGATACATTTAAAAAAAGGTTTTATGCATATTTACATTGAGAGATGAACACAACAGACAAGTCTTTTATACATTTTTATTATGCAAAATATGGTGAAAAATAACAGTATCATGTAAGTTTTTCATTCTGTCTATGAGAAAAATCATTACGATAAGTCAATAAGAATTTGTTATGACAATTTTTGTAGAGCTTTTCACGGTACATCTCTAATAAGAATCAAGATTTTATTATTTCGACTTGTCCAAACTAGCGCTGTTACGTTTTTGACACACTGTTCTTCAATTAACTCGGAAGGTTTAACAGCTAGAAAGTTCATTCAAACGCCATTCGACACAGCTTATCACACTCTATTTATGTTATAAGAATGACCTTTTTTAGCTGAAGTCTCGAACGTCTAGAAAGATTTTATCATCGCGTAACGCTGTTACATAAAAAGACCCTTTTTTCCAGTACCGCCGAGAAAACTCTAATTTCTAGCGAAACTATTTCTTCGAATGAAAACTTTTCAGAGTCAGTTTTGTACAGCATCGAACAAGCTTTTAGGCAGTAAAAAAGATTTTTCCTAAAGCATTTTTGCTCAGATGAAAAATGCAAAATACAAACGTAACGCTGTTACACAGTTTTTTGTGGACCAGTTTTGAGGCACTTAACATGTTTAGAATGGTTTGCTTTTTACAGATGTTACTCATTTCCGTGTAGATAATCTTCTACATAAGAATGAGATTGATACATCGATCCGAGACCTCATAAACCGGACAGTAAGTTGGAAACTGTGTAAGAGTCTGCAATTTGTCTTTACTTACGAAAGTCAAAACTAAATAGGCCATTTTGTAGAGAATTAAATTCTGCATCGAATGGTATGTCTCTCAATATTTTTTCAAAAAGTTTTTTGGTTAAAAAATTCAAAATATGATTTTTCACAAGTTTAAAACCCAGTTTTTGATTCTAAAACCTGACTTTTTTACAAAATAAATGTCGAATTCGTAATCAGCGTTAAAAACTGCATCTAGTAACTTATTCAGATTTGTCAAACTCGAAAAAAATTTTTGTCAAAACTTGATCAGCGAAGTGTCGCGTTACGTGGACGAGCCGATTTACCTAAACCAAGATATAGACGAAATAAAAACAAATGTTACCAAAATTTTGGCACATTCAGTACATATAAATGCATTAAACTATCGTTATACGACCTATTCGTATAAGTGAAACCTTAAATTATCACCTTATAAGATTTTGATCATCAAACTTTGCATGAATCTTATAGTTTCTTAAGATCATACAGTATGAAATTCTGTTGATGGATTTCTTCAAGCTGAGCATTCATCTCTCATTCAATAAAATGTCGATCCATTGTATAAAATATGAATGATTAAAGTTAAATTGCAAAAAAATGTGTTTCATTAATGAACACTTCGCTTTTTTTTTTATTTGATATAACAATAAACTGTGAATTCATTTTCGTTTTCGGAACAAAATTGAATTTTTGTTTTGTTCAAGTAGCAATAAGTAAATGAAAATTTTTTTGATGAATAAAACAAAAAATAAGAACTATATATATATCATATTCTACGTTATCGTATGTATGTACGCAAAGATATCATGTTTCAAATCTATAACAACTGTTCTATTTTTTTTCTTCATCTTCGTAATGTAGAACACGTTCATTTTTTGACATGAACGAAGATAAGAATGGGAATGATAATGAATTGCTATGTTCGATTGCATTTCTTGCTATCGATAGTCATGTTTATGAATGAGAAACAATTACAGGTTGGATTCGACAATAAATAGAATCAGTCTATTTATTCGACAAATTCTCCATGTTGAACACCTTTAATATAATGATCATCTAAAAAGAACTTCATACTCAATGTTGGAATTCACCTATATCTTACATTACAAATATAGAAACGATCAAATTTTCAACACATTGCAATTTATTATACAATCGACATCATAAAATCATTTAGCCTAGTGGATCACTTAGGATAGAACATGCAATAATGCACAGTTTAAAGTATGAAGAAAGATCATGGACAGTAGTTTTCCTGATGATCATGGCATTAGAAAACGTTCTATACATACATAGTATTTCTTCGAATTATGATTGGTCATGGTTCAAAGAAACAGATAAAAACTCTATTAAGTACGTATACACAATACCGCATCTTTATGATAAAAAGACGATATAAGCTTTATTTTCTCTTACTATACTATTTATTTTATGCATAATTTTATAATTGTAGGAAATATATTGAATATGCATCTATCTAGTTCTTTAGTCACAAAATTACTTCATCAAATCAATGCCACTCGGTGCAATTATACATACTATTCCTACTGAGATTAATCTATGTTACCAAATAACACGATTGTATTTAGTTTTCACTTTAATTTTTCGTATTAATATATGAAAAATCTCTCAATGATTATGGTACTATTATGCATTTCAAAATATAATGTGCTCCATTGTCTTTTCATTAACTTTTGATAGGAACATCATAGAAACCCGCGATTCTCACCATTCACGAGAGAAGGTCCAGAGCCATCCGAATATATCGAAATTAGATTAGCACGCAATCGAACAATCATGTGAGTCATTGCTGAAGACTTTTCAAAACCATATTCTGAAGTTATTTCCCTTTCGATATATGTAAGACCAGTATTCCTAATTTGTTCCGTTCGAGAGTTAGAAGAGTTTTCCTGAGACCTGTGATCACTCGAAAAAATAGCTAGACATTGGCAATTCATCATACTGAGTCGAATGATGATTTTTGTTTTGAGATTCGTAATGATCTGATACTGTTCTCTCAATATTTATAAAATGTCGACTCCTTCATTGCATAGAGGCTGATTATGGAAATTCAGATGATTCCGATAACAAAGTCAGACCCTTGAGAACCTTGAAAAAATATCACCATTCGACTTAGCATCATGGATTACCTCTACGCAGCTGCTTTTTCAAATGATCACAGACTAATTGGTTGAAGTTAGAGATCGCAAAAAAAGCCGTATACTTCTCAAACGAAGTAAGTTAGGAATGTCGGTCTTGAATAGATCGAAAGGAAAATCGCTTCAGAATATGTTTTTCAAAAGTCTTCAACAAGAACTCACATGATTGTTCAATTACGGTCTAATCCAATTTCGATATACTCAGATGACCGTGGGTCTTCTCTCTTGAATGGTGAAAATCACAGGTTTCTATGATATTCCTATCGAAAGTTATTCAAAAAACACTAGAGTACAGTATATTTTGAAATGAAGAGTATTTCAAGAACTAAATTAATATACAATGCCAATTTTAAAAAGTGACGCTCTTAAATCATTTCATTTCTATTCAAAAATAATCAGAACCTACTAAATTTTTCATGTGAAAATCCAAGCGAATGCTCTATTATGTATGCATTTTGTCATAAATCTTTTCTTCTTGTACCGCTTATTGAACTCAATAATATTTAAATAAAACAAACGAACAATTAAATATTATTAATTTTTTGAATAAAAAATCGAAATGAACATATCGATAAATTGATCATAGCTATCATTGTAAATAAAACAACATATTAATTATGCATTCATATGTAACTAATTGACAAAGTTTTAGTAAAGTATTTTCAATGATTTAAATAAACATTTGATATACATGAGACAATTGCATTCTTATCAATCATCAATATGTATTGATATGGTTCATTGACTGAAGAAAATTTATTAAATAAAGTTCAAACAATAATGAATTTTCTCTTGGCATAGAACTTTTTCTTATGATAAGATCTGCCCTTTTAGAAAAAGAGAAAGATTAATTTAAACGAAAAATCTGATATTTAACGACACCTAATAGCCTATAAGAGAGGTATAAATTTTAATTTATTATCTCTTGTCTCTAATTAGAATTAAGAAAAATTCTAGACTAATAATTTATTAAATAGAGTAGATGTCATCATCAATATATTCATTGGTTATTTAATAAAAAAATTAGTCTAACATGATTCATATTACCTTTCAAAAAGTCTTTCCGATTTCAAGAGATTTTTATCAGTTCGTTTTATAACGATATTTAACTCATTTCACTTTTAGATGAAGCAGTTGAATGTTCCTCTTATCTTGCAATTGCATTTCTTAACAACAGTTATAGCCTATCAATCATCAGAATTTTTTCCTTTTTATTCTCAAAATGATACAGAAAATTTCAAATATAATGAAGAATTTCATTCATATACTTCAATTAATCATTCAATTCATCGTCGACAAATTTCACTTAATATTCAAACATCACAACAAGCACGTTTACGAATTACACCATCGTATATTATTCTTGGTCCACGCATAATTCGACCTGCGCAAATAGTTTCTATAAGTGTTACTATATTACGTGATGAATGGAATCCAATGATGGTTAAAGCATTAATATCTAATGATGATATGGCTATTGCTAATGTTGAAGATATATTTATGGTTAATATACCACGTACATTACAAATGCATATACCAAAAAATATTCGTAATGGAACATATCGTTTAACAATTGAAGGAAGATTAGTAACAGGTGAAAAAAAATTTTATAACATGTCACAATTAATATATGAACAAAAAGCTGTATCAATACTTATTCAACTTGATCGACCTGTTTATCGTCATGAAACTGTTATACAATTTCGTTGTATACCTATCTATCCAGATTTAAGTGGTTATTTTCATACAGTTGATGCATATATACTTGGTCCATCGGGACATATTTTACGTAAATGGGAAAATCAACAGACAACTGCTGGAATAGTTTCACTTGAAGTAAAGATTAATATAAAAAAATTTTAAACTTTATTTATATTAATAATTAATATGTTTTCTATTTAGTATCCAATTAATGATGCACCACCTGAAGGTACTTGGTCAATAAAATGTCGTGTTATGGGCTATGAAGAGAAGAAAACATTTGAAATCTATGAATTCTATTATAGAAAATTTGAAGTTAATGTTACTGTTCCATATTATTTACCAATTGACACTCCTGGTATAGGTGGAATTATAACAGCAAATTATACAACTGGAATGAGTGTACTTGGTTATGCACGAATTGTTGTTCGAGCACGTAATATGTCTATGCCATATGATCCACGTGGTCATCCATTATCTGATGTTGAATTTGATCAAACAACACCATCATATACAACAAAAATCAACGATTTTAATGGTGTTGCTGGATTTTTTATACCAATATCAGTTATTCGTACGCTTCTACCAGATTTAGATGGCAATGAAATATTAATAACAGCTGTTGTACATGATCCATGGTGGAATGAAACAAATAATGGTTAGTATAAAGAATTATAAAGTTGATCTAAATTTATTTAAAATAAATAATATACAAATATTATTGTTAAATTTTAAATAACTAGGCAGAATGGAAAAATATAAATAACGACTAATAAATCGAAGTGAAAGATTTATTTCTAGAACAGTATAAAAGTATTATAAAATACTCAAAGTAGTTCATTTTATTAATATTCTCATTGAGTATTTGCCTTCTTTGATAAATGGCGGCACGTAGTCTATATTCTATTTAAATGATAGAAACTGTCTCATGATTCAGTTGAAGATAATAAGTCATACATAAGAAATGTATTTACATGAATAAAAAGACAAGCATTACTTTGATTTGAAAGATTTTATCTAAAGAAGGCTAACTCTTTGTAGATGAATTTTGTTTTTGACAAGATGCAAATCTTGTGAGTTTTTCAATAAAAACTTGAAATGGAGTGTATAAACGCTAAGAGACGCAGTAGGTTTCGTGAAAAATCATCGAACTCCATAAGATCCTGGAATTTCACATTAAAATAGAATGGTGTCTCGTTGGTATAAATGTATCATTGTATCACAAGATGATTCTGTGTGATACTAGCAAATTAAGGGAAAGAGAATATTGTTTATGGCGTAGTGAACACAGATGATCGTATAAGTTAATCAATAATGATTATCCAGTGTGAAAAAAAAGATGGTTCAAAGTATTTTGAGTAATATGTTCAAAACAAGAAAAGAAAATATAGTGAATCATACTTCAGATTTAGAGAAAAGGCAGAAAAGAAAAATATAGAAGACAAAAGCAGCAAAAATGAAATAGCGAAAGAAAAAAGTAAATCAAGGCTATATGTTGCGGGTAAGTAGGTTTTCATAGACAACACTGAAAGAGAAAATATCGAATTTGGAAAATGACAAAGAGGTAAATAGAGAAATTGGAAACGTCAAAAAGTCTAATGTTGAAAACAAAAATTTTTAAATACTAATAACGACTAGCAGAACTTTATTCGGTCTGATAAAGAAAGACCAGAGAGAACTAGGATTAAAAATTTGAAATCGGTTTTTTTTTGCAAGATGCGTATGTGTGCGAGTATAGGTATAGGTCTTTGCTTTACGCACACATTTTCACTCATACTCACATCCCGTATACAAGCCGATCAAGTTCTTATTGCTGTCAGAGATGTCCATCGCGGCAAGGGTTTTTGAAAAAGCATCGCGGCGCGGCGGCGGTACCTTATTTCTGGAAGACATTGCAAAAAATGCATGAATTTGCACAAAAATTGAGTGTCCACAGACGTAACACTCTAAGACTCAATGAATATCTCATCAATTAGTGACAAGAATTGTATTTCAATACATTCACAGCAATGAAATTCGAAACTTTTTTCGAGTACCATCGCGGCAGCGGCACCATTTTTGGAAATTCGTCGCGGCGCGGCAGATTTCTCCCCAATCTCCGCAGCGCGGCAGCGGCAGATTTCGAGCTGCGATGGACATCTCTGATTGCTGTTGGCGATCAGAATGCATTGTGCCTTACTTGTGGCGAAAATACGAGAGAAAAAGGTTCACATTTAGGTAATTTTTATCTGTTAGCAGAACTTTAGAAGACTCCTGTAAATGATTCGATTTGTCTTCATCTCATTTTTTTTCCATTGGTAAAAAAATATAGTTCTGTATATTGTGTCTATGAAAATCTATTTATCGTTCTTTCATGAAATTTGTCATGATGAGTTAATTTTATGGAGAGGAAATAATCAATATTGTTATTATAAATAATTAAATAAAAATGTTTTGAAATTTCTAAATTGTATATTTCAATATAAGTTCTTTGTTTCAGGTACAACTGTTGTTTCATTTTATAGACCTGGTACACGTCTACATTTTCTTGGTGGACCATCAATGGTATTCAAACCTCGTATGCTCTTTACTACTTATGTAGCGGCTACCAATGATGATGGTACAAAATATCCTCCTGGTCCTGGTCGATATATTCGTATTTATACTGATACAGATCGTGGTCAAACACAAGCTCCAGTAGATTATACGATTGATTCATCCGGTATAATTAGACATAGATTTTTAACACCTGCTGATCCAACAGTAACATTTATAAGATTTCGAGCTGAATTATATGATAAGAATATTAAAGTTCAAGGTAGTGAGGATGAACAACGTGCAATACGTTATTTATCACCATCAAATAGTTATTTACAAGTTACATCTAGTACAGAAATACCACGTGTTGGTGATTTTATGTTATTTCGTGTTAATATAACACAATATGTTGATTTTGTTTATTATCATATAACATCAGCTGGAAAATTAATTTTTACAAATATTCTTCCAATGAATGATGCTAGACAAAAAACATTTGATGTTGCTATTAGTCGTCAAATGGCTCCATCAGCTCATATACTTGTTTATTATGTACGTTATGATGGTGAAATTGTTGCTGATAGTATGAATTTTCATGTCGATACATCATCAGTTACAAATCATGTTAATATAACAGTCAATCGACGAAAAGATTATACAGGAAATACAATCGAAATATTAGCATATGCATCACCACAATCATATGTTGCATTTGCTGGTCTTGGTCTTGTACAAACACGTTTATTTCCACCAGGAAATCATATTAGTTCAGTTATGGTAAATTTTCTTAAAGCTGTTAGTGCCATCCTTACAGAATAAATATGTGAAACACGATGTAATTGTTCTTGTTAATCACACAAAGATGGTTGTGTTTGATTTATTTTAAGACATATTTTTTCATCATTATTTTACTTAAACCTCCAAATATGCGATAAGGATGTAGTTCATATGCAAGGAGAAACCAACAGACTTTCTTAGACTTCAACATATATTAACTCATTCGCGGCGAGAAGCATATATATGTAATTCAGTTCTGATTCAACTAGTAACTGACTTCAGCATTTCTCTTATAGCGAGATCACTCGAACGTTTTTATTAGGATGGTAGCTAGTAGAGAAAAATTTCTTTTATTAGAAGCGGTTGAGTTCAAAATTATCGGGTCCGGATTCGAATAGCAGGGAAAACTCAGATCAGGATCCGATGAGATCCGAGTCCGAAACCATCTTAATAGGCTCTACTTTCTGGTCACTACCATCTTAAGATATTCCAGTAACAAAAAGATAATTCCACAGATCATAGATCCATCATTTCAAATATATTTTGAAATTATCATTCGTATTGTGTTTTCATCCATTTTCTTTCTTTTTGTGGTTAGATCTATTACATCTATACTGTTTTCTTGGGTTTTCAATGAATAGTGACTCTTACTATCAATTTATTGTGCAATGTCCTTATTATTTTCTTACGAATACTCTTTCGTCTAGTGCATTATGATTCTGTCCATCATCCGTGTATAGATATATATATATATACATTGTCTCACAGTTTCAAAAACATATTTCTTCCTACAGTAAGTCTATTCTCAAGAGATTAAAAGCTATAGTTCAAAAATTTTAAAAGATTTCAAAATTGAAGGATCTGCTGTTTTCTCATCGCTTATATATTAACACGAGAGTTCTACGGAATTGTTGGGTTCAAATATTTACCATATATGCTTGAACATTTCTTTTAGAATGTGTTTCATAATAGAAAAAGATATATGATCAATTTCATTTAGATTTATGATGAATTATATTCATTTGATCGTTATTCAACAACAAGTTTTCAACATACATGGTATTCAGATATTAACATCGCATCAAATCGAGTGTTTTTTTCATCCCAATCATATGGTTATGATGCTGGTTCAACATTTAACTCAACTGGTGTGCAGATATTTACTGATGTTAATATAAAAGCTATACAAACAAAATGTAATCAATTTGGTTTATTTCAATGTACTGATGGTTCGTGTTATCCATCACAATTAAAATGTAATGGTATTCTTGATTGTCGTGATGGTTCAGATGAAGTTAATTGTAAATGATAATTTTTATAAAAATATTTAGCATTAATATTAATTCTTTTTAGGTAATATAAGTAGTAATAGAGTAAGTCAATATAACTTTACTCCATTATATCTTCGTTTATGGCCATATTGGGAACGTGAATTACAACTTGATTTTATGTGGCATCAACAATTTGCTTATCCAGATGGTCGTGTACAATTTCGTACAACTGTACCAAATACAATAGCTACATGGGTTATAACAGCATTGGCTGTTAGTCGTTTAACAGGTTTTGGTGTTATTAATGTACCATATATATACGAAGGTACAAGACAATTTTTTATTAAAGTTGAAGTTCCACCTATTATTCGACTTGGTGAACAAATTGGTGCACGTGTTGATGTTTTTAATTTTCAAACATATCGTATTGAAGCATTAATTATTTTACATGCATCAGATCATTATCGTTTTGTTAATGTTGAACGACATGGTGTTGTTTCATCATTCTCACCAAAATTAACAGATGGAGATCATCATGTACTTGTTATATTATATCCAAATGAAGTACGAAGACTTTATCTTCCATTTGTACCGATTACTGCTGGTGAAGTTGAAGTTATGATTGAAGGTAATAAAATAAATTCATAATTAAAAAATTTGAAGAAATTTCGATATATTGCTGAGCATATTCATCAAGAATGTTGAATTTTCTAGATAAGGATCAATGAGATAGTTTCACGTAATTATAATCGCTAACTTAATAAAGTTTAGACTTTATATTTTTATAATTAATCATTCATTTTGATAAATAACGATACAATAATATTTACACTTATATCTAGAAGAAGTTGTTAGAGAAATCTTTGTGAAATTAAAATGTAAAACACGATGTAGCTGTTGTTGTTGTTGTTGTTGATCGAAAGGAGATCGGATGTGAGTGTAGATCAAGAAAACACTCACACTTATATCTCTATTAATGATTAATTAATTCAGACAGAAAACTGCATTGTCTCATTAAGGTATTACTGGTGTATCTCGTGACTTTTATCGTGAAGTAATTAAAGTTAATTATGAAGGTGTACGTAATTTTTATCATACTCCAACTGTATTATCACTTAATAATTTACCACGACAAGTAAATGAATATGATGTTACTGTTCCTCAACATTTTATTCTTCCATTAGCAAACGTTTGGGATTATATTCATGGTTCAGCTACATGTGAAATATTTATATCCGGTGATGTAGCTGGTCCTTATTTTTTATTAGGTTATGATGAATGGTTAAACACAGATAATTTAATGCAACGTACAACTGCTCCAAGTGATTCAGGTGTTTTTGATTTTGCTATGATGATTTATAATCTTCGATATATGTTGCAAGGTAAATATTATAAGAATGAAGGTCTTTTCTTTTTCTTCTATATAACAATACAGCATGGGACAAAAGCCTCCAGTGTTTTAACCACTTCTCAGTGTGGATAAGATGAATATGAAAGTGTATCATATACACAAACAAAATGTAATTCACTTTCACGATAAATCAATTAAAACTAAACATCGTGATTTGATTAATTTTACCACATAATTTAGAGTAGTCAAGTCGATGTTGTCGCATTTATCATGTAGAAATACATTCAGTTCATCGAAATTTGATGATTTCTACTTCTAAGCATGCCATTGGAGAATCCGCCAGAGTGGATTGAAGAATAGTTTATCTTTATGAGTATTTCCTTGTGTGGAAACTTTTCCATTCATAAACTTTGTTGTTTGAGATTATTATCTTGCTTCAATTCCGAAGACAGAGTGAATTAAAATTCTCAAGTTTCAGATGAGATGATCTGCAATTTTTTAAACGTAGTAAGGATCATCGGTATTCTTCTGAATGAATGATAGCCGAATAGATTTATGACATTGAAACTGCGCTCTAATATGGTTTTTTTCTGTGTTCTTCGGAATTCGCTTGACGTCAACTATTGAATTCTTTGGTCATTGATCAACCATCTTTCTGAATAATTGGTGGAAGTTGTTATCAGTGAACATTATTCAGCTACAATTTTCATCTGTGCGCTGAATTAGTTCTGGACACTCACATCCTTCTGTTTTCGCATGCTAGCATCGACATCGCATAGAGCTAACGCAAGTACTCCACGAACTAATCCTTATCATTTGAGCTCATATTGAGTTGACAAGGAGGCCTAGGTAAGACTAGAAAATTCCTAAAAGAGTCCGTGCTCATGAGCCTCTAAAGCTAAGTTATGACTATTTCGCTGAATTTTCGACCCAATTTTAGATATATACCGAAAAATCAAATAATGGAATTTTCACTCATAAATAGATCGAATGAATAGTAGAATATCCTGAAAGTTTCGGGACAATAAAATCACTACTTTGTCAAAGTATTGAATTTTCAAAAAATGGTTGTTTGCCACAAAAGTCGAGCTTACTTGAAAATTCAATGTCTCAACAAAAGAGCATCCTTTTTGCCTGAAACTTTCTAGATATTCTACTAATTATTTAACCTGTTTATGAGCGAAACTTCAGACAAAATATTCCTTTTTGTTTGATTTTTCAGCATACATTTAAAACTGACTCCACAACTCAGTAAAACAGTCGTGACTCGGCTCTAGAGATCCATGGATTGGAACTATTTTAGAATTTTTCTAATCCTGCCGAGATCTCCTTGTGAACCGAGTAGAAGTTCAAATAAGAAGTATCACTTCGAGTTGATACTGTATCTTCCGCAGTGATACATGCCGATGTTGATCATCAAACAGTTTTGCGTCTGTGTTTTCAGCAATTGTTTCATTTCTTCGTCAAATCCACTTGTTGAGAGTCTAGTATCCAACGATAGTGATATTGCACGGTTAACTACTACGGTATCTATCCTCAATTGTGTCATTTTTTCTTTTATCTTGGTCGTATTTTATTTTTATAGTTCGAAGAATGATTTCTGATATTCAAGTAATTGTGACCGAAGATTGGTTGCTGATCTTCGAATATTGTAAAATGCTTTACTTTCAGCAAAGAAGGATTTCATTTTCAAGTTATGTTCTCTGAAAACAAGAATATTTACGGCGACTTGTGGTTTCGAATAACTAAATACTATATAAACCGTTCTATATTTTCTATAGAGTGCTAAAAAAATTGACTTGAAAACTTTCAAAAATGTTGCTGTAGGCGAGAGACAAAGATTTTTCATCTTATTCTATATTCATATACATACTTTAGGCCATGGTGGTCGTGCATTTGGTCAAGACAAATTATTGACAGTATTAAATTATGCAAATATGGAATATCAACGTTTTATGGCAATGTATGTTGATGCTGATCCTGATGAACCATGGCGTAAAGGTTCATTTAGTCAATTTGGTTTTTCAAATGAAACATCTACATGGCTTACAGCCTGGGTATTAATGACATTAAGTGATGCCGTTTATCCTGAATGGGAAGAAAAAGGTTTATATATTGATCCAAATCTTCGTTCAGATATTGTTGCATTTCTTCTAAGTACACAACAACGAAATGGTTCATGGGCTGAATTTACAACAGTTGAAGATCGAAATAAATTTGGTTATCGTTTAACAAATATAAGTGGTACATATAAATTATTAAACTTATCTTTAACAGCACAAGTTATTATTGCTTTACAATTAAATACTGACATACGTGGTATACCAGCAAAATTTTTAACAGGTGCAATTAATCGTGGAAGACAATGGTTAGAAAAACATTTTCGTTTAATAAATGATGCATTTGATATGGCAATTGTTACATATGCATTACATATAACAAATAGTGCTGAAAAAGATGCAGCATTTTCTATGTTAGGTTTATTTAAACGAATGAGTACGTATTGTTAGTTTGTTTTTTTTCTTAATTTTTTAAATTCAATTTAGATGAGAATGGAGTTTATTATTCAAATTTAAATTTACCTGGAATGACAAAAACATGGCCGAATGTTAATCCTCGATTTGGACCTAAACCAGTTCCAACTGACTTTGAAGCTCATGCTGTAACTGCTACAGCATTTGTAGTTATGACATATACACATAAAGTTAGAGTTAAACAAGCTGAGCAATCTGGTATGTTATTTAATAGAAGAAAACGTTAATAAGAAAGATATTTATTCAGAGGAAAGAATTTATTATGTAGTAAGCCTCGATATAGGCCATCTGACTCACAGCAGCTTTCATGACTTACTTTTTCAGAATTTTATGAAACACGAGCTAAAAGGAAAAGTTGAAGTATAGAGGGTAGAAATTTGCACCTGCTCCCACCAAGGCTGTAAAAGACATATAATATATACGATAGAAGCTGACGGTTCCCAAGCTTATCCGAAACCGCAACCGTTAAATCCTCAGACAGATATGACAATTTTTAATCTATTTTGAGAAATTTTCACTATTGAATCATCGAGATCAAAGATGTCATATATTTCAATGCTTAAACAAAGCAATACTATAAATATATACTGTAATCGTTTATCTCAAGAAAGAAAAAATGAAGTTTTCTCGAGATAAATTTAAGAATTTTTGTATCCATCTAATGATTGAACAGCTTCAGTTCGGTAAAATGATAGTGAAGAGATATGTTCCAAAATCATAAAAATTGCACTAAAACGTCGGCAACTTTTCATCATTAAGTCACGAATCCGGATTGTTTTTAGCTTCTCTTAGTCTCACTGAGACTTATTTGTAACAATAATATGAAGTCAAACGGCGTTCAACAGTCATAAATGATTCCCTGGTAGTTTTCATTTACGACAATAGAAACTATCATAGTCCTGTGGAGCCTACAAACTTTAATATATTTTTATACTTTCAATTAGTGCTATGGCTTCAATCAATGCGTAATTTTATTGGTGGTTGGTCTGCAACTTATGATTCTTGTATAGCACAACGTGCTATAGTTGGTTATGCAGTATTACGTGGTTTTGAAATAACAGCATATAATATACGTATTAATTTAGCATCATCGTCATTTGCAGATGCTGATGATGACAGTCCAGTTGTAATTGTCGATGACAATATAATTGATACTCAAGTTCGTGGTGTAGAAAATGTTTGGGGTGTCGTTTATATCGATGGATTCGGCAATGGCTACGCACTTGTTCAAGTATGTATTATTCATGTGTCCAAAAAAAAAAAAGAATATCGATGATTGTTTTCTCAATAGCTTCTAATAGGAACGATAAGTTGAGCCGGGATTTTCATCATTCAAGAGAGAACACATATGGTCATTGAAGCAAGTTGAAACCTGATTGGTCAGTAATAAATCAATCAGGCGAACTTTTGAAGAAGTTTTTTAAAAAACGAGTCATTGAAGTCATTCTTCATTAGATTTTGACATGTAGTATGACCAATGAGTAGATAAAACGTTTTCCGCGATTTCATCAAAGTGATCTTGGAAAGCTTCAAAACAGTATCAGACATGAATAATCCATCACACTGGTGTGAGTCGAATGATGATGCTTGTTTTCAATTTCAGAACAACAAGAAAATATTATTTCAGTATTTTCTTAAATTTCAAAAATTTCCTCCTATTCCACATAAAAATCGAAGTTTTGAAAATGTTAATACAGTGATCTCTGAGGGGGAAGAGAACAAAACCCACCAAGGTTTGTCCCTCCCGCAATAGAAAACCTAGTAGTACGTCGCCACCCTTCTTAAAGACTTCCCTAATTCTACTCGCCTTGCAACGACATTGTCTGCTTATTTTTTTTTATTTCACTATCTACCAGAGAAAGGCAAATGGTTTTTCAAAACCCAATTTATGTCCATAGTTACCACGAAGTTGCAAATAATTGACAAACAATTTTAAGAATTTTCACAGAAGTCAGTCATTCTAGGAGGAGCCTCTTCTTCACCTTAATCAAGAACCCTACTCAGGTTGCTTTAAAACTGAAAACAAGCATTACCATTCGATTCAATGTGATAAATTAACCCTATTTGAAGCTCTTTTGGTGCCTTCCAAGGTCACTTTACTGGAATTCGATTCTCAGGAAAATCTTTATAATTCTTGAGCGGAAGTACCTACGATGTTGGGATTTACTTAGACCGAAAGTGAAGACTTCTTTTCTACCGATCAGTCATATTACACGTCAAAATCTAATTGTAGATGACTTCAGAAACTAGTTTTAAAAATTTTTGCTAAGAACTTACCTAATTGATCGATTGTCGGCCAAACAAATTTCTGACTTACTTCGATGGCCTCAGGTGTTCTCTCTTAAATAGAAAAAACTCTGATTCTCTTCGTCATTCTGATCAAAAATTATTCAAAAAACAACCGTCGGGATTTTTCTTTTTGAAATGAATAATGGATTTCATTAAAAGAACATTTTTTCATTAGATGCATGTTGGTGTTAATGTTGAATTTGATCCTCGAGTACGTCGTCCAGCTTATGCTCCATTTTCTGTTGATATTAAACCAATGTTATCTGGTCGTAACTTTTCAACAGTTGATTATCATGTTTGTCTTTCTTGGCGTTCAGATAATGTTAAACTATTAAAAGCATCACGTAGTGGTACAGTTGTGATTGAAATTCAAATTCCAACTGGTTATCGTGTTGAAGAAAAAGACTTGAAATCAATGATACGAGGTCGTTATACACGTAATTTACGTGAAGCAGAAAATTGGCCAGGTCAAATTAATTTTGGTTTTCAATACATAGATTTTGATCCCATATGTTTTGAATTTCAAGCAAAACGTTGGATACCAGTGGCAAATATTTCACGTTATTATGAAATACGAGCTTATGAATGGTTTGAACCAGGTAATATGTATCGAAATGTTTACACAATGAGAAATTTATTTGCTTTAGATATTTGTGAAGTAAGACTAATAGGAAGAATATTTTTGAATTTTATTATTACTTTTTGTGTCTATTAATAAGGTTTGTGGATCATATCAATGTCCATATTGTCCATATTATAGTCCAGCTACAGTATTTATACAATCCATAGCAATGATTATTTGTATTTTATTTATAATTTTATGTAATCATCTGAATATGGTTATTTTTAATTGACTTTTTTTCGCTCATACTTTGTTTAGAAAAAAAACAATATGAATCTCGCCATATGTTCAAAGAGTGTAGTACGAATTGTTTGTATAACAGTAATTTTTGTTTTTCTTTCTCTGCTAGGCTTTGTACAGATTTTCTATTTTGCTAGTATGAAATTCTATGAATGAATACTTGTCTGTCTGTTCTTTTTTGTATACTTGATTTTGATAAATTATAGTGAATGATTTATTGTAAAAAAAAAAAAAGGCAAAAAATGTTTTCGATATATATTTATTTCTTGAAAGAAACTAATGGGTGTTATTGTGGGTGTGAATATAGTGTAGTATTCATTTGACACCCAAACACCATATTTACGTATCGAAACTAGAATCGTGATTAAGTTACAAAGAACTCGAACATTTATAGCATTTTTTTGGTGTAAGTTTTGAAAACATCATACAAATGACGGTGCACATTTGCTGTTGTTCACTACTACTTATTTCGAGATCGAGTGAATATGACTTGCTTTTACTAATTGCACAGGATGGGTAAAAATATTTTTCCAGGAGGGTAACATTATGGTTTCAAATAGCATCCATAACAAATTTTATACCAAATTAAAGCGTGTCGAAAATGTAATTTATCAATGATATATAGTAAAGGTTATGGCAACTTTTAGTGTCGAATTTTACACCATTTTCACATTGAAAAATTGCTTTCATGAGGCAGTTCAAACTAGATCTCATTTAAAATGATGAATAACACAAAGTACTCGACATCTGGCCTGAAAATATTGGAACAATAATCAAAAATAAAACTGAAAGAAAATGCTATAGAAGATGGAACACAATCATTATGATGAAAAAACTTTGAAAAAAATATTTCAGATGTTTTGGCAAACATTGAAACAAGCATTGAGTTATTTGAAACCATTTCATGTTCGTATCCGTCTCATTTTCTTGCTGTAAAAAAAGCTAACGGTCATTATATTGATTATTGGTCATATTCATCAAACCACAAGATATAAATAGTACTTTGTGTTATTTATCATTTTAAATGAGATTTAGTTTGAACTACCTCATGAATGTAATTTTTCAATGTGAAAATGGTGTGAAATTCTAGGAATTTCTTGAATTCGACACTAAAAAGTTGCCATAACCTTTACTATATACCATTGATAAATTCCATTTTCGATACGCTTTAACTTGGTATAAAAATTTTTATGGATGCTATTTGAAACCATACCGTTACATCCCTGAAAAAAATTCTTACTCACCCTGTAGAACAAATTAACTATCAGTGGTGTTCATTGTCGCGTGACAATAGCATTTTATTTTGGGAAGTGATGAAGTCTAATAACAAGAGTGCTAGTTCAGTACCGCGATATGGCAGTCAGTTTTTCAAAAGTATCATGGTAGCGGTCGGTTTTCATCCGCAATGAACATATTTTATAACTATTGATCTGTTGATTTCAATAGTAGAAAGATGATATAACTATAAAGATTTAAGATTCTCTTTCTTGTTTNACTACCTCATGAATGTAATTTTTCAATGTGAAAATGGTGTGAAATTCTAGGAATTTCTTGAATTCGACACTAAAAAGTTGCCATAACCTTTACTATATACCATTGATAAATTCCATTTTCGACACGCTTTAACTTGGTATAAAATTTTTTATGGATGCTACTTGAAACCATACCGTTACATCCCTAAAAAAAAAATTCTTATTCCCCCTGTAGAACAAATTAACTATCAGTGGTGTTCATCGTCGCGTGACAATAGCATTTTATTTTGGGAAGTGATGAAGTCTAATAACGAGAGTGTTAGTTCAGTACCGCGATATGGCAGTCAGTTTTTCAAAAGTATCATGATAGCGGTCGGTTTTCATCCGCAATGAACATATTTTATAACTATTGATCTGTTAATTTCAATAGTAGAAAGATGATATAACTATAAAGATTTAAGATTCTCTTTCTTGTTTTATGTTCAAGCTTGTCGATTCACATTTGACTAGCGAAAAAATATTAAATATAAGAAAATGTGCATAATTATATTACATACAGGATGATATCAGTTGTAGTAGATCTTTGGATGCTGTTTAATGATAATCTAAATTCAGAAAACTTTTTCAAATATTTAAGAACATCCTAACAAACAATATTTTGATAAAAAATAAGAATTTTTATTGTAAGAGGTGCATCATAAATAATGAGAGTCTTCGTATTTTCTCAATATCTTCTATAGTTTTCATAGATTCAGACTAAATTTTTTTCCAAGAGATTCCGCATTTTATTCTCTACAAAGCCGTATACAAATGGATGTCATAAGCATAAAAGCAAAAATATTTATTGTAGTCATACTGCAAACATGCAATATCAATAACTTCCAAGCACAATACAAAGTTCTCTTGTATTTATGTGTTCTCAAGGTCGAGCTATATAGATAAATTGCACCATTCATTTTGAAGAGCCTCAAAAAGTCTATCTTAGTAATATGTTCAAGAATTTTTACAAGGAAATCTTATTGCATAAAATAAGCGTTACTTTTGCTGCATATTTTAAAAGCAAAACACGATTTTTTATTCGAAATAAATAACCTTTATGGAGCCCTTATATTTTATGCAATACGATTTCGTTATGAAAATTCTTGAACATGTTGATAAGATAAGACTTTTAAAGTTCCAGAAAATGGCTGGTATCATTTTTACAAACATGTCGCTATAGCTCAACATGAACACACAAATACAGTATAACAATATTTTGTGTTAGGAAATTGTCGATGTTGCCTCTTTGTACGAATATGGGTGTTCTCTCTATCCACATCCATACCCTCAGCTATTTTATTAAATAGAAGTATTACATTTTTTACTTAAGGAGGATCAGATTTAACACTATCATATCAAACAAGACCAACAAGCACAGGCATTTTTTCAATTATATCCAGTATTGCTGGTATTATTTGACAAAGTTTAAGTAAATTTTATGATAAATAAAAGCTAACTTGATCACTGTCTGCGATACGACTGCATATGGGTGATGAAGATAGTGTAGAAGTATTCGGAATTATTGAAAGTGATCGTCAAATAAGACAAAGTACAAAACAACATCGACTGACATGAGTAAACATGGACAAAACATAAAAGATGCTTCTAAAATAAAATCTGGAGAATAATTTCTACAGAAATTTGCAATAGTTTACTTGTAAACATTCTTTCTTAAGGTTCAATATAGTAGATAATCTGAATAAACACTCCTTCTCAAATTTCCTAGTAAAGTTTGTGTGAATCTCTCTTTTATGGTTTTTAACGGATCAGCAAAAAAAACTTTTCTCGGATATTTCAATTCGAAGAAAAATGAATATAAGGTCTAGAAACTGTCACAGTATTAAAAGAATGATTGTTTCATTCGATCTATGAAATAGTTTTGCCCTACGTATTATTACAAAATTAATTACTAGTAGAAATTAGAATTTTGTATATGTAAGTCTTCTATAGGATTTATATGCAATTGAAAATTTAAACGTCTACATTTTATTCTTTTGTTATTCTTCAATCTTATTTAAGAAAATCTTATCTATTTAAAATAACTAACTTTCATGTTAAATTATGTTTTCTTTTCAAACTGAGTATATATTGTGTCTTTTTTAAATTTCAATCATAAGTTGTTCGCTTGTATTTGATTATTAATTAAATACTGTACATTCCTCTTTTTCTATGATTTAAAAATGAAAACAAAATTTATTGTGTTTTTCTTTTTCTTTAAAATACATATGTGAAAAGATTAATATCTTCATTATCAATTGCAAACTTCGTTATTCGTTGTTGAAGGAGGTATTAAATTTTGTGTAGTTGTTTGAGTTGGTAGTCGAGTTTGACAACGTTAAATGATAATTATTGAACTATTATATCAAAACCAACACATGAACTAGGTGTTAAGACTTTATATTTCGATAAATCATATTTACTTCGTTAATTCATCTATAAATATTTATAAATGATAGATTTTTTGATTAAAAAAAAATTTTTTAAATAAGAAAGAAACAAATCAAATGAATTATTCGTTGTCCAATAATTAATTAATAACGAATGATAAGCAGCTCTTTGTGATATTAAAATACAAAATCAATAAAGATTATTTGTTTCAAATGAATTCTCATCTTCATCGAAAGCTTTGCGCCAAAATGACAAAGGCAGTAGGTAACGAAACAATAAAATGAATAAAAAAAGAACATTTACAAATCAATTAAAAAATAATTTGTTAAATATAACAAACAAGTAAAAATTCAAAATCATTGTATACTATAAGGTTTAATAAAAAGAATGCAAAATTCGAATTTCGATTATCAAGAATTAAGATATAAGCTTTTATTTGCAATCAAATTCAACAGTGAGTGTATGTTCAAATGAAATAAATGTCTTAGTTTCAATACCATGTAAACTATAATATAAAGAATCGTTAGCATCCAAAGCGGAACCAGTTCGGTTTAATTTTAAATTGAAACGAAAACTTAGTAAGAAAATATCAGAGAATCGAATTTATTGTCACACATTCAGGAAATGAGACATGTTGGGTTATAGATAGCAACTGGAGTTGGAAGGGTACAGGTGTTGCTATTATTCGTCTCTATGACCACACGTACACGCTCGTTATTGATCAATCAATCTACTTATGGGATAAGTGTATAAAATGATATGTTGCAAAGAGCAGTAATTATTTGATGAAAATTCGAATAAAAAACAAAATGAATTAGTTTCCGTTATCAGCTAATTCTCTAAAATACATAATTTTTTTCTTTTCCTCTTATTTATAAAACAAAAATCCTTCTTAATCTACACACTTTCTTCATTCTAAAAGCTTTTGTGTTTTAAGGGTCATAAAATATTTTCCTCACGAAAATCCTCAGATAATGAAAATAATAATTGACAATATGACAAAAGAGATTTTGTATTATCTTTTAATGCAAAACTCTAATATCACTGAACGTGTAGCCAAACAAAAAACTACCGGTAAACCATTGAATAGGCCGTTTGATGTACTACATGCTATATCGGTAGTGGGTTAGATACTTAAAGGATCAGCTATCTTCTGACGACTATTCCATCGAGAGTTTTTCTCCAACCGACAATCTACTGCCGATATACGATCAGTACTTATAGGTAACGCGATTTACTGCGGATAATATGAATACATGCACAATATAGATTTTTTGAATGTTAATAAAGATTATTTTGATATGTACTTCAGCATAAGCTTCTTATCTGAATAAAAAAAACAACAGATCCGAATTTTTTGAAAAGGTTCATATAAACCTAATGAGACAAGAATAATTTCGTCAGACATGTTTTTCTCATATTCTTATGATTTAGATGTAGCATCTGCTATATGCCAAAAAACTATTTTCTTTCATTACTGTTTTATTTCATTTCAAACCGTAAAAAGAATAATAAAAAAAGCCAGAAACAAAATGAACACAAAATCAAAGTACATTTACTAACATGCAACTTCAAATAAAATATAAAAATATGAAATAAAAAACATTTATAATGATAACGAGAAGGACAATTTTTTAATCATGTTAGAAACTTGGCTTGTTCATCTAGAATAAACAAATAATAGGACTAATCTATTTATATGAAAAATATTTATCGATTATTTTTTATATTTATCATCGGGAATTTATAATGATTCATCGATTGTCGACGATGTTCTGTGTTTTGATAAAAATTCTTTTGAAAATTTTCTTAAATAAACTATAACTCGACTCACTAACGAGTCAACAAATGTACTTTTTTCTTCTGACTACTAATAAGTATACATTATCGAAAAAGAATGTAAATTTTTTTTGATTACACTAAACTCAGTAACTATTACTTGTCATCATCTAGACATGAATTCATAATCTACAAACGTTTATATAGATACTTATTTTCTTGATTGATCAGACAAGACTGTTTTATGTCATCTTGAACTTCAAGCGAGAATTTTTTTTTTCTTTTCTGTCGAAAAGAATCTTGTTGTATCGATCAAAAAAAACAAGAATTCAGAAAAGGATAGAGCTAAAAACATCGATTGATGATCATAGAAATAATCAATAAATAGATTTCATAATTCATACAATGAAATCAATTTTAGAATAACTAAACTTGCAAATGAATCCTCTTCTATTGATATTGATAAAACTTATTTCGTGTGAAAGCTCTTATGTCACCCATAAAACTACTTGAGTGAAGCATATCTGTATAGATTCGATTTTGTTCTTAACAAAAAAAACTGGTAAGAAAAATGGCACAGATGATCTGATTGTAGACAAACAACCTTTTTTTTTCTAATAATAATAAGAAATACAAAGAAATCTTTCAATTGTAAAAACAACATAAGGGTTTCTTCTGTTTGTATTTTTTTTTAAATAAATAAAGACAAAAGAAGAAGAAAAACAAAATTTCTTTTTGAAATATTATATTCAATCACTAGTAACATTCATTTCAAAATTTCGTGGCATACATACATAGGAAAGTTCTATGTCAACAAATAGTATTACCCCGGTAAAATATTTTATATAGATATATTCTGAGGAAAATAATCGATGTTGAGTGTTTTTTCATCAATAGCCGCAATAAACAATGTATAATTGAATTGCCGGATCACGAGAGTGCCTAGTATGCAAATAAGTCGACTATCAATATAGTATTTACATATATGCGGAAAGCACGTTGAGGTCCCTTGAGATTGCTTCGGCCGTTTTTTTTTCAACATTGACAATCAGAAGTCATTCTTTTTTTAGGGTGAATTTTATTAGTTATCCATTAAAAAAATTGAGTCTATTTATCAATCTGTATATAATATTAGTTCATTGACCTTCAGTCACCTACTATTTGCCTTGTTTCGCTTTATTTTTTCTCTGTTCGTTTTAAGTATAAATCTATGCGAATATAGGTGTATGAATGAAATCAAAAGGGAATTTATAACCAAGTATTTATATTGAATCAATATAATTTTCTCTTTACTTTTTACAGTCATCGTCCTTCCTACGACCATATATTGGTTCACGTCGTAATCGATATTTTATCGATAACAAACTATCGCCATCGTTATTATTATTAAATAATTATTGTTTTTCAACAACTCCATCATCAAAATCATTTTTACTTAATCAATCGAAGAAAAGAATTTATTTATCGAACGGAGTGACTACCAATACTTTACAAGAACCAATTCCAACGGAATATATTTCTTCTCCGATTCCATTAGACGAACAACAATTGTATCAAGGACAGACAACAAAGAATTCTTTGTCTCCGTCCTCATCTTCATTACTTTTCTCTCCAACTGCTGAGAACGTAACGTCTAGAACTGTTTACAATCGTTCTCCTCATTCTTTCGTCAAAGAACAGCAAAAAATTCGCCATCATCAACAATACGAACAACAACATTCCCACGAGCAATTTTCAAGTAACGAAAATAGAAATAATCAATACTTTCTATCAGAACAATTTAAGTATCAACAAAAGCGAAAACAACCATCAATTTACAATCATCATATTGATCTAAACGATCTTCCAAAGGAAAATAACTCTTTTTCATCATCAAATTTATTAAATAATAATATTACTTTACAACAAAACAATAATAATCAATCTTATCATTTGACATCAACACCTTTTCAATTACCAGTTTCATCTCATTATTCAACAACAAGCAATAATAATTTTACTTTAGAATCATCAAATAAAAACAATTATAGCAAATCATTACCTGATATATCTAATAATATTCTCAATCGATTATCAACTCCAAGATTTTCTACAGATATTCAACTTCAATATGATGTTGACCAACTAAATAATATGTCATCATTACGATATTCATCACAATTAGGTATGGGTCGAACAACAGCATATTCATATGATCAACGAATAAGTGATCAAGGTGATAAATATATTATTCAACTTAAAACAGATGATTATCAAGAGAATGAATTTTCAATCGCACCACGCTATTATATGAATCAATTAATTATTGATGCTAAACATAGTGAAGAAGATAATAATGGTGGTTATTTACGTCGTGAATTACATAAAGTATTTAATATTCCCAAACATGTTGATTTAAATAAATATACATATACATATAATAAAAATACTCTAGAATTAACAATTGAAATGCCTTATTTACAACCAATAACAAATGAAAATAAAAATAATTCTTCATTCATTCCACCAATTCAAAATACAATTCAATCATTAACATTTTCTTATGGTGATATTAATTTAGCCAATGGAGAAAAAATTTCACCAACAATACATAATCAATTAGATCATCATCATAATGTCACTACTACTAATACAAATAATAAAAATGAATATGGTACAGGAATTAATAATAGTTCAACAATAACACATAATACATTAGCTATGGGACCAATAAATGAATCATCAATTGAAAGTACTAAACCTTTTGATTATGATTTATTTCATCGATCAATATTTTGTCCACAAATTATTCAAACAACATCAAATGAAAAAAATATTCATGAAAAAAAATTACTTATGTCTTTAGATTTAAGTGATTATCAACCCGAAGATATAAAAGTATCAGTTCAAGAACAAGAATTAATTGTTAAAGCAGAAAGAAAAATCGAAACTAATACACGTAAATCACGTACATCATTTTTTCAATCAACTAGTTTACCACCACAAACTGATATTGAACATTTAAAATCAAATTATATTGATGGAAAATTAATTATTGAAGCACCATATCTTGAACAACGGATTAAAACAATTCAAAATCAAGAAAAAAATGGGTGAGATACATTCCATAACGTCATAACTTTTATATGACAGACATTCTTCTTTTGCTTCTATTAGTTTATTCTATGCATAATCTTTACTAGAAATCTAATTTTTAATCAAATGTATATATATATTTATATATAAATGCTTCTATTGATTAATTTATGTGTGTGTGTGTGTGTTTGAAATTTATTTTTAACTAAAAATATAACTATATGGTATAATTAATATATTAAATTTTTTATTTTATCTTCTTTATAAGAAAATAATAAAAATAATTTATATTAAGATTTAAAAAATATAAAGATCTTCTTTTAAATTATAGTATAAAACAAATATATAGATATTAAATTGTTATTCATTAAAACTTTCATATTGATTTAGATTTTTTTCGTTTATTTTTATTTTATCAAGGATATGCGTATGTAAAATATTTTAGACAAAAAAAATATGAATCACAACAAATATCCATTCATGAAGATCCATTTCAACAACGTACAGAAACTATTAAAGAATTTGTTCGCCTTCGTCGATTTTGATCTTAATATTTAATTTCATATACAATCAATCATTTTAAACATTTATATGTTTTTTTATGTGTAGCGCGACAAATAGAACAAGAAGACAATGTGTATCTCCATATGTTTCTCTATTGATTTATTAACATACATGTAGGCTGATTCCGGTGATTGTTATCATTGTTCCCATCTGTTTTTTTTTTCTTTCATAAAAAGAGACTCTTAATGATATTTCAACTTGAAACGAATAAATACGCATTAACAAATATCTCTGATTTGATAAACATACATTGATCAAGTACAGATCAACATATTATTTTTTTTTCTCCTATTGTCAAAGTTATTTAATTTCAAAATGAAATATTTTGTTGCTCTAAATTTTTTTTGTCGAAATTCAATCATAAGAATGAGTTATTTATGTAGCCTGTTCGGATCACTAGAGAGAAAAAATATCCAAAAACAATAATTGAGAGTTCACTTGTTACATCAACTTCAAAGAAGTACAAGAACTTGAAACATTGACCATGAACTCGAACACATTGAATTATGTTTACATAAGACGAACATATGTCTTTTTATTATTTATGCAATAAAAAATTTATGAAAATTTTTTCTAAGTATCATTGACAATTACTTTGTTATCAAATTCGATATATTCTTATGTGAATGCTCAAAAAAAAGCCGACAACAACAACTATCAATAATTGATAATATACGGCAACGATTAGTTTTTTTCCACACTGGAACCAAAAAGTCGTTTCGTGAATGACATTTTGATCTGTTTCATCAGTGATTTATAATAAATATACTGAGTGTAATTCGGTTCATTTGTTATTATTTTAAAATAAAAAACAAACAAAAGTACAAGTATATTTTGTATTTCCGTATTTATTAGACAGAAGTATCATTAGCATAGATGTATTCTATTGTAGCAAATATTTTGATATACTGTTCTATTGAAGTACATTAGCTATTAATGATAGATGTGTCCGTCATATGCTACTCTAATATTAAATAGCAATCAAATCACTCTTTTTTCTGTTTAATATCGTCGTTCTATTTATTCACAAATGATTTTCATCATTGTCTTTTTTTTTCAGTTCATAGAAGTACTCAATTATTGTTTTTTTTATATATATATATATAGACGAAAAAGAGTTTGCTCCTACGGTCAAATACATTCATAAATCGATTTCTGTTGAGCATATATTCTAAAAAAAAAAAAGGCAAAGAAACTCGTATAACTCTTTGTTCCTCTTCTCGGGTGTTTCGCTGGGTACTCGCACATTATTAATGATGGATAGAATGACGACATTTTTCTTCTGATTGATTCAATTATTGAATGCATCTATCCACTCACAAAATTCTCCATTACGTCGTCCTTTTAACTGTATGTTCTTTTTATTATCTAATAACCATGATAAACTATTTTGATCTATAGATTATTATGTATGACTAGATTCTTTTTTAAAGAAAAAGACAAAATGATAAAACTCTTATGAATGATAATCGATTCATTATAGTTATTGAACTAACTATAGATTTAATTCTACGTCATTATTCGTTTCAAGGAAAGTAAAGAATTTTATTTAATAGAACACGTATTCTTTTTTAATAGGATTAGTTTATAAATAGAAAAAAAAAATTCGGCATAAATATTTTTTTTGGTGTTATCACCGTAAGTAAACTTCCATCAACATGACTTTTTGTTTTGCTTGCTCTCAAATAGTTCAATCATCATAATGAAAGTAACATGATATAATTATGAATAAATAACTCTTAGGCACCGTTTTTTTTTTACCGAGTTTGTATGACAAATTAAAACAAGTGCGGAAATAAAAGAGTCGCTTTCTAATAAATAAAAAAACATATAGCTTAATAACAAAAAGCGTCGTGCATTATGAAGGTAAAATAAAAGAGAACAAAAAACATGCCCGAGCTTTTAATGAATTTAATGAGATGAAACTTTCTATGCTTACAACAGTAAATAAACAGCAAAGAAGTTTATTATTTCTTTTCTTTTTTTTTTTTAAAGAAAAGCAATTATAAAAATCATTAATAGGGCATAAAGAAGGGTCTTTATTGTAAAATACGTTGTTGTATATGAAAATATCTTAATCAGCTAGAACTTCTTTTGTCTATTTGCTTAATTATATTGTTGAAAATTATTTAATACATGTTCAATTTTTTTCTTTCTATAGTCGTATTATATAACTATGGTTTTAGTAATAAAGTATTCATGAGAATAATTTGTTTATATGTTAAAGAAATAGTCTTGCGTAAGATATGAACAATGATTATTAATGTCAGATAAATCATAACTAGTTTGATTGAATTTTTACAGAACAACTTTTGAAGTTTTAATGGAACTATCAAATATACACTTAACTCGAAAATAATCTCATGAGATATTTTGTTTTTCGATCGATACGATGTTTAACTGGAGTTGTTTTTTCCTCTAAAATTCACATAGGATCTGTTTATTATTATATTATTCATTGGTTTGTGATTGTTTTTCTTTTCTGCCTTTTTCTGTTCCCGATCATAAAAGAAACTATTTTTAGTGCTCAGCTTAATCTTTATAGCAAGACGTATTAAAGAGAACGGATGTAGCCTTGTGTAAGTGGTAGTGAAAAAGCTAGCAAAAAAAAATGTTTGCTCTCTTTCTCTTTATCCTAACTTCTAGATATATAGTGAATGTTTAGACAAAGAGAATTCATTGACAGAATGTATGATAAAATATAAACATCAAAGAAAGGAACTTTTATTTTATTATTTTTATTGTCAAACAACAAAGGCTATTAATGTTGTATTATAATAGTCGAAATGGGCGAATTGACGATGATTACATTTTGTCAAATCCTATCAAATTTTACTCGTAATCGATGTTATTTAGTTGAAAATTCGAATACATGTCGATGTGTTGGTGATGTTATTAATCCAAGTAAGTATTTATTTATTTATTTTAGTATATATATATATATATATATTTATTTAGTGTCGCCAACGGTTGTTGTTAGTACAGCACCTGACATAATGTCAAGTGAAGTAATTTTAATATTTTTTGTTTTGGCTATATGGCTTTCAGCAATTGGATTTTGTCTTAATCAATATAAATCACTTCGTCGTCTTGAAACACAAGTACATTATTGTGTTAGTCGTAAAGATCCATTAAATATTGGTGATATTAAAATCGTTACACGTGAACAAGATTCAATCATATATAAAAAGAAACGTTATTCAACATTAATTGATACACATATTAACCATAAGGATTTAAAAAGTGTACAATATGTACAACAGTATCTACCAAAAAATCCCATGACAACAATCCCATCAATATTATCTACAGTTGGTATTGATCATGATGATCTTTCAGATAATATTCCATTGTCAACAGTAGTTGGACTTAGTCCAGTAACAAATATTCCATTAAGTACATATCAAGAAATAAATGAATATCAACCAGCATTATCATATTTTACAACTGATACAGAATCGAATAAAGGTATTGAAAAAATTTCATATATAAATCGAAAAGGTAAAAAAAGCATTTTTCAAAAACTATAATAATATTGATTGTTAAGAAAAATCTTTAAAACAAAATTGTTATATTAAAGAAATTATTTTAAAATGAGAAAATCGAATTTCGAATAAAAAAAAACAACATAAGACTTGAATTTACTTCTAGTTTTTATTCAAACAAAATTTAATACGTAGAATAATCGTACTAAAAGAATTCTTCTCTATAAGAGTTTTTTTTTATTATTGTTCTATCTGTTTTCTTCCTTTTTTTTCAATTGAAAATATTGTTTGAATTATAAAAGTACGAAACATTAAAATACTCTCATAGTTTTATCTGGTATAATCTCGTACGAGTTGCAGAATGTTATAATTATAAACTTCAAATTAATCTTTAAATCATACATTGAAAATGAAAGAAAATTTTATTTTATTATATATGTAGGAAACGTGCTGTATTTTTTGTTTCTTTTTCATATTCAATTATGTGTTACTTTATGTTCATTACTTCTTTTTTTTTCTCAACTTTTTTATTCTTCAGTACTTTTTTAATTATCGTTTCAAAGAAATAAGTCATTTTGATTTGACACCTCATCGATATTAATTTTTTTTTTAAATTTCGACAATAAATCTGTGCTCTAAATATTTACAAAGAATGTTATAAAGCACAATCTAAAACGGACGTAGAAGCATATAGGGTAGAAATTTACATCATTCCTTCATAAACTATGACAGACGGGCTCGACAGACATGTTACAGACATTTTGGTAATGACACATCACAGACGTGACAGTCATACCTAGCAACACTCTCTGTGTCACAGATTCGAGGAGAAAACAACAGACTTCATGAGACTTCAAGATTCAAGTCTTTGCTGTTTCCCCCTCGTATAGACTGTGACAAGTGTTGCTGATGTACGATCAAAGGTCATATCTATGTATTGTCTCGTCATAATATATGAAGTATTGCACTTTTCAAAGATTAAGTAATAGTATGATGAAGAAATTTATTACAAAATAAATAAAACTAAGCAATCCTCCTGTGATTCACGACAACAGCTACATCGTGTTTCAAATTCCAATCTCGCCAGAATTTTGCTAACATTTTTTTAAAAATTTCTACACTAACGAGGGAAGTTCTCCAACTGTTCAATCACTTTTGTATCGAGACTATGCGGATTATGTAGATGCAACTGAATTATGAATATCCTGAAAATAATTCGTGCGAGTAGCTTATGGCTACTGAGATACTGCACTATTGCGGTATTTTTTAAATAAATGTTGTACTCACTCTCTCATGAACACGAGAAAAAATGATTTTCGAATTTTGACTTGAAATTTTGAATAAAGATTGAATTTGGCCAGAATATATTGTTGTGAAAGTTTCAGGTCTTTTGATTTGCTTCTATCTTGACATAAAAACATTAAATCTGCTGGTTTATATGAGCAATGTGAAAGACACGCTATCATTATAGTTGTCTCTTGAAATAGAAACAGCGGCTAAACTTGAAACATTCAGAAAAAAAACTACTCTCGTTAAAGGCTGTTTCTATGCAAAGTTTCAAGTTGCAATTTGAAAATAAGTTTTTCTGGTGTTCTTAAGGCAGAACACAGCATTTACTTAAAAGTATCTCCGTCGCAATGAGCTAAAGATACGAGTTTTTTTTAAGGATATTCATAGTTCATTTAGACCTACATAATGTACATAGTCCTAATTCAAAAGCGATTGAACAATTGAAGAACTTTTCTCTTAAGCCTGTGATCTGAATATTTGCCAATTCAAGCTTAATTTTCAACTTAATGGGAAGATTCTTTATCTATAGATATCATGTATTATTGTATATTATATTATAAAAAAAAGAAAAGAAAAGAATTGGAAAATCTAATTGTTAAGCTCATTTGAATGACTAATGACTTTTTTCTCTCAATCGTTGGAAAATGAGACTCATTTCATAAATCATTATGCCCAACATTTTCTTTTTTTCTCAATAGGAAGTACGCAATATTCAATAGGTCTAACTATTCCACGTATTTTTACTCCAAGTAGTTTACCTTTATCATGGCATGATTCAAATTCATGTGCAACAAGTTGTTCAGCACAACATTTATGTGTTCCACCAAATAGTCAACGATCTACTCGTCATTCTGATGGTAATATATCATTACCAGTACCACAAATAAGTGAAAACTATACAGAAAATTTCAATGAACAATTACTTGATCCTCGTCTTATATCTGAAACAGTTCGTCGAAGTTTATTAGCATTACATCGTGAAAGTCAAGAAAATGTAAATCTATCGAGAAAAAGAGGAAAAACAAGATCAGAAAATGATGTAAATGGATCATTTTCAGCATGGAAAATTAAAATGAAATCAAAATTGAAACGTACACATCATCAACCACAACAACAAGAAACACGTTCACATTCAAATACACTTTTAATTTCATCTCTAGAACATGATTGTAATGATCAAGATCAATATTTATTAGAAGATTTTAACACAAGTAATGAATCTCCACATTCAATACAATCATCCGAACATTATTCAACATCCGTAACTCCATCAGCTCGACGAACTTTAATACATTATCCAAAATATTCAACAAAAAGTACAAGCGAAAGTGAAACAACACAAGGAGAATTACCAGTAACAACAAGTATTTATGTATCAACAGATGATGAGGAATCAGCTGAAACACTTATTGACACCACTGGAAGATCAACATGATTGTTATTTCTTTTTCTCTTGAAGTATACCGGTGACCTTTAGTTTGTTTTTTTTGCATTTTCGGAATAATTAATTAACATGAATGATTGCACAGTGAGAAGCTATACCCCGAACATTTCTCCTATCATAAAATAGAACATATTCAAAAGATATTTATGCTTTTGGTCGAAAACAAATTTGTTGAAACAGTATCTTCTTAGTCATAGAAGTAACCTCAAACATCACGATATGGGTAAAATGAATTGACTTCCTCGTTCTTAACAATCCTATAGAAGAATCGAAGGATTCACAATCATTTTGAATACCTGGTGAAACTTTCGATGAACAACATGTGATTCAATTCAAAGAATGTGTTACTCATACTCTTATCTACGCTTAAATAAATAATGACATTGTGGAATATAAATCATAATATATAATTTATACAATACTGGTAAATTTAAATTTGAATTTTTACATATTTTTTTTGTTAAAATGTTAAATTCAAAACTGAATAAAACTTCTCTAAGCAATCTACTAAAACGAGCTAATATGCTGAGTTGTCTATATCAAAATGATAAATATATTATTTTTTTTTTCTCGTTGTATAAGAAAGAAGAATGTAAATCTTGTTAAGGGTATCATCCTCTTTTTTAGTCATTTTTGATTCTTGAAAAGAATGCAATCGATCCATATGAATTTTTTTTACCACAGCGAAAACACTTGAAATAAGGAGAAACATGTTCGAGTAAAAAAACGTTAAACAAATCTTTCCTTTACGCGTCTGTGGAATACATTCATCAACTAGCTATTGCAGCAGCTCGTTCAAGCAACGACAATCTTTTAGAAGCTTATCTTAAAGATGAATTAGCAGAAATTTAAAAATAGATAGGCAGTCATAAGATTTTTTAATTTTTATTGATACTCTCGAGACAAGAGACGTCTGTCGCAAATCTCTCTTAGTTATTGCCACGATTTCTACTGTTTTTTGTTTTATTTTTGTGTTGGTGTTTGTAACATCTTTATACCAGTAAAAAAGCTTTTGAAATCCAAAAAACAAAACTTTCATGATTTTTTTTAGAAAAATCTTGGTTTTCCAGAGAACAGATCAGGCTCGCTGAAGACTCTACTTTAATTTAGTTCGTTCGAGTTGATATGTTTACCAAAGATATTTAGTAGCATACCTGAAAAATCTACCTGTGTGCGCGCATGCGCGTATAAGGAACTTTAGAAGAGTTATTATCTGCATGAAAATTTTTTAATTTAGAAAATTAGCTAATAAAGTTTTGTTTTTGTCGTAACCGAGGGATACGAATTTCATGCACAAATATCATGACTAATTTCTTAACAGAGAATAATCCAACTGATTTTTGTTAAATGTCCTTTATCATTCAATACATCTTTTCTTCAACATGCATTTTGTTATGTCCTCTACATGTGGATAGTATTAGAGAATTTCGTTAGCTTGCGTCTCTGTTTTAGTTAAACCTTTGTTTTGTTTTTCCTAATACACATAACAAACTTTCGTCACAAGCCGCGACAAAACCGCCGACAGTAAGATAACAAGTTAGAAAACTTCATTATTGTGCTAACCTTCAATCCAATCGATCACTCCCAATTCTTTACTTCATCACAATGGTTTCAACACAATTTGAGATAACTAAGATTATTTTATAAGAAAAATGAACAATATCTAGCATGAAAACTTCTAAATCTTAGTTCAATTGTGAAAAATAGTTTTTGAAATGACTAAGTATCAAGACTATCATTATTATTCAATGACTGATGAAAAATAATTTAGTTTTTAAATAACGTTATTGTGAGTGCATCATAGCCTTGTTTCTCTCGTGAATTTTTAAATATAAATATATATTAAGGAAATTCTTTATTTTATTTTCACTGTAGGGAAAATTTTCAAAAAATCTTATTTCGTTGAAGGAGAATTTTCATTTTAATGGCTGACTCTGCACCTCTGCTTTGAATTATAGTCCAGAGGTAATATCGGTCTTTTTTATTTTTGAGCTTTCGATCTAGATTTATTAAATCCTGAATATCAAAGCCTCCAGTTTTGCATCCGAACCTTTACGTATTTCTCTCATAAGAAAACGGAAACCGAGCTTATTTGATAAAATCTCAAAATCAAGAGTGAGATATAGTCTAAGTTATCTCCAAAAACTTTTAAGCCTCATCAAACAAAGTTAAAGGAGATTCTTAAGCAAGCCCGATGCGATGCTCAGGAAAATCAAAGCTTTCCTCAGAAAGTCGCAGAAAACTTTGTTTAAATTTTTTTAAACAACTATCCCCTAATTTTAGATACTTTATCTGTGATAAAAATTTCAGGAAGATGGGTTGTACCCTCTTCAAAAACCAAAAATGGTCAAAAAAGATATGGTATCATCAATTTATAAGATGATTATATACATATAAGTGTAAAGCATATGCTCAACGATTTCGAAATATTATACTAACACTTTTAGTATACAAAGTGTTTCAGAAATTCTGAAATAATATGAAAATTTATCGCTTATATGTATAACAAAAGTAAACCTGTTCAAACTTTGTTAGACTATTTCATTTTATTGAAATATAAATTCCTACAAAATTTGAGGTTGATAGATTTGATGATAATTTTAAAAAATGTCTTAGTAATTATGATGGCATTCTATTTTTTACAGTTTTATTGTTTGATATTTTAAAATTAAAACCATTTACAAAAACAAAAGATATTAGCTTATTAATGTTTATGGAGTTTCATAATCATGTTGATCCATTTGTAATTTTAATTGTGCAGATTTTCTATCTATCATTTGTTGATATAAATAAACATGAAATTTTTTCTATTTCTGTTTAATGTAGTTTTCTAATTCTTCAATACTATTGTGTTATTTTTCCTTGAAATGGTAAAGTTCAAGATCGATCAGTTTTGCAGTACACAACAATTCAATTAACAAAAACATATTAATCTCTTCAAGATGAGGTTACTTTTGAAAAAATGAAACTTTTACTTACGAGGGAACCACCCGAGGTGTCAAAAAGCTTTTGAGCTGAAATTTTGCCCAGAAGTAGGGGATGCATAGACTAGGAAAAGCCTAAAAGGATATGNGGCTTTTTGCTTAAACATACAGTAAAAATGCAGTATCTCGGCAGTGGTAAGCTAGCAGCACGAACTTTTTCCAGAGGATTCATAGATCATTAGGATCTACATGATGCGCATATGCTCAACTCAAAAGCGATGTGACAGTTGGGAATGTTCCCTCGTAAGTCTAAACTGTGTCACATGAAAGTCATCTTATGCAGACGACGTCGTATTATAAATATATCGTGTAAAACACCCTACATGTTAGTTTTATGTAGTTGAGATTTATCGAACTTTGAGTCTCAATCGTATTTTGAACAATTCTCATATATCTCAGCTATACCAATAGTGGTAGTCGAGAAAATTTATTTATTTTCTCATCTCATGTAGTACAGTAAACTATACTATTTGATCATCTTTCAAATCGAAAATATTTTCTTCACTCGTTTTTTTTCCTCAAATCGATATAAGTGTTGCAATTCACTCATATGTGGCAAGAATTCTATATTAGGCTAGTTTGTCTGTCAAAGTAGATAAAGAACATAGCCAGGTGATATTTACTAAATGATAAATCTTTAAATCGCGTGCAGAAACATTCTTCTATTACAATAATTCTAGCAAATAATAATTAAATGTTGTCGATGAATTGAAAACTGCCGATAAAAACTACATGGTATGCAACTAGGACATTGATTTTGTATGACTAAGAAAATTCGCAAACATCAATACTACTTCTTATATATATATATATTTGTTAGAAAGAGTTTTTAAACAAATTTTCAAAGTAGGGACGCAACAATGATCACCAATGCATCGGTCTAGACATACACGTATAGAATAACGGTGAAAACAGAAAAGAAACTACATTGCTCTTAGATTCATCTCGACTTTTTTAGTTGAAGGCAGTGTATTTCGATAAAACGGGTAAATTTTATAAATCATGACTAAACCATGATAACTAGGCCTTTCTCAAACAAGAAAATCAAACTTGAGACTTTCGACAAACCTTCTATCAATTGGGATTCCTGAACTCTGAAAATCTTTAATCTATTTTTATAAAATTCAGCTATTTGTTTGAAATAGCCTTCCCAATCGAATTTAATTCAAGACCACTTTAGTTTTATCATGTTTTGATCGTCTTCGCCATAAATCTATATGTATATATTTACACCAGTACACCGAAGGTATAGTGCACTGCTATGGTCTCTAAATAGTGTGCCGATGGACGATGCAGTGTCACCGTTGCATTTCTATTTCAAAGATTTAGCTTTGATAATGAATGAAATTTTCAATAAATCTTTGTCAATATGAATAAGATTTGAATAATTTTTTTTTTTCAAACGATGTTTTATATTACCTAATTGTTTATAAATTTTTTCTCTAACTTCATTTGTTAATGGTATTGTTTGCGAGCGTTGTTCAAATATTTTTAAAATTTTTTTTAATAAATCAACACTTTGTTTATGTTCTTTTTCTAAAAACCAATTAACAATACAAATTAGAATACAATCATTTAATGAAATAATATCATTTTGATTTTTAACAAAGCGTTTATTAACAATATCAATGAAATCAATAATATTTTTTAAATGATTAAATATTTCATTATAATCTTTTTTTTCATAATCAATATATAATTGATTAATTAATGATTGCATAGCTTGCATTGTTTGTTCACGTATAATTGGTGTATATTCAAAGCGTACATTTTTATTCATATTAAGAAATACTTTTAAAGAATTTAATAAATCCATATTAATTCGTTTTAATGTTAATGAATAAAGATTAAACCAATAATTATTAAAACGTATATTTACTTTTTTAAATAATAAATCAATATCTACTGGTTTTAAATAACATTGATCAAAGAAAAATTCAACTAAAAAATCAATTATTTCACTATCATAATTAATTGAAAAATTTTTTTGTAAATAATCAAGAAGTTCACGTGTTTGATTGACAATTTCTTGTGGATTATTTATAAATATACGACGAAATTTAACTAAAATTGGACGCATATAATGTTGACGATATTCAAATTCTTGTTGACGCATTGTATCATAAATTGCATAGATATATGGTAATGGAATATAATTTTGATATGATTGATAAAGTAATTGATGAATTGCAAGCCAACGATCTTTCTTTTCAGTAAAATTTTCAGCTCGTTTAAGTACATATTGATGAAAATGTTTTAATTGTTCATCAGTAACAGATTCTGCCTCACATTGATAATTAATCGAAGCTAAATGAAATCAATAGATAGAGAAGAGTAGTCGGGTAGAGTTGCTCAGTGGTAGATTTGCTTGCTAGGATACGTGTTCGTGAGTGTGGGTGTGACTGTGACTAGTTGTTGAATGTCGATAGAGGAAATGATGAATATGGTTGGGAGTTCATGACTGTGGGTGCGGATACTTTTGTAGGTCTTCTCTTTATCTGTCTTCACGCTCGTGTCCATGTAAACAGGTGTCCTAGCGAGCAAGCATTCCAGTGAGCAACTGTTCTGAATCCATAAAAAAGAACTTACATTCAAGATTATTATTAATATCATCAAGTGTTAAAGCTGAAAATGGACGAAAATGATGTGTTGGTAAACGAATTTTTAATAGATTTAACATAGTTAAATTAATAACATCAAAACGAAGAGTTTCATCACGTTTTGGAAATGAATCGACTAGTAGAAAAGCATAATCATCGAGTTTAGCATCTAGTAATTGTGTTGCACAAAGAATATATTGAACCTAAAATTTAAAAGAAAAAAGATTTTAGAAGAGCAAAATTTTGAATTATATGAATTTCGAATAAGATTAATTTGTCATTGCCTATTCATAGACATAACATGAAGTTGAATGACGTTCAACAATTTGGATATGTTTCGTCGTTAGACATTGTTGAGTATTTTATACTCAAAACATAAGCTTAGCGGTAATTTTCCATCCAAACTTATCAATCCTTTAATAAAATGAACACACACATTTGCTCGATCAGAAAAAAAACTAGATGTCAATTTTCATGCTATATGCTTGCTCGTATTACCATCTGTAAACTGCAGTTGAATGGGCAGTCAGAAGAGATTCGATCATTTAAATATTAAATTATCATCAGTTTTTTGTCTGGCTTAAATTATATGAGTAATGATTTACTAATTAAATTTCAAATTTGACTTATACGTATCAGTGATATCATTCATTTTCTTTTTCTAAATTAAAATATTTTCTACTACTCACACATATATCAGCAAGACTATTTTGATCGAGTGAATTGATTACAAGTTGAAATAAATCTTTTTGTTGACATTCGGCACATTTAACAATTAAACGAAATAATGATTCATTATCCATTTTTGATACATTTTCTATAAAATATTTCTTTGCTTGATCAATTTTTCCATGTTTTAAATAACTAATTATAAATTGTTCATATGTTTCGGATATTGGTTTTAATTCTAATTCATGAAAAAGATTAAATAAACTTTCTACACGTTCTACATTGCCTTTTTGTGCATAGGAACTTAATAAATGTGTTAATATTAATGGTTCAATATTTAAATTAGCTATTTTCATTTCATTTAATATTTGTTGTATATCATCCGATCGACCTTGTCGTGCATAACACTCACTTAATAAACGAAATGATGTTAAATTTGGTGCAATATTCAGTTTTTTCATTTCTTCTAATATTTTCATTGGATCAAATAAATGATTATTTTGTAATGATACACGCATATATGAATTATAATGTGTTACATCAAATGTAACATGTTTTTGTTTAAATATATTTATCATATGATCAAGTACTTGTTGTCTTTGATGTGGTAATTCACTAATAAGTAATGAACCAGTACATCGAATAAGTAGAAGAGCTTGTGTAGAATTGATTGCATCAAGTTCTACAGCTGCTTTACGCATTGCACCACGTACAAGACCAGGATTTAATCGACCACGACGATGGGCTTCACCATCAAGTCTTTCAAGTAATTGATCAAGATCAAGACGAGTTGTTTGTGGTGGACGAATTTGTTGAGTAGGATTACTTGTACCGAGGGATGTTGAACGAATGAGAAAAAGTGGTGTACGACGAAAAACACTTGCAAAACGTAAAGCAAACATGCTAGAAGAAATTTGTAAATAGTACGATATTTTATCTGAGAAAATTAAGATTTATTTCGATAGAAAAAAAAATATTGACTATTGATTATTTTATGATGAAATATCTGGATAGACTGAAAAAAAATCAATCAAGAAAAAAATAACGGTGGGGCGGAAAGTTTTCAGAAAAAATATTTGCTTATCTTTAGCTTCATTGAAAGTACTTTCAAGAAGTCAAAAGCTATATGTTAGGACTAGTCATGAACGGAGCCAATCATTTTTTTGGTTTTGGTCAAAAAAAACTTTTGCTTATGATGTTGCGTTTGGTAATACATATACTGGTAAAAAATGGATTATCATTTTCTAACAATTCCAATATGCTCGAGAGATCTTGCACAACGTTTATTGTGGTTCCTCTTGGGGATTCATTACTTTTTTTACATTCGCTGATATTTCGTCTATTCCAAACATTTAAATGTTCGACAACTCTGTTGTTTACGGCAAAAAGGATTAATTTTAGTATCAGAATTGTAACAGTACATATTGAAGTGATCGTTAGTCAATAATTTTTGCATAAACTATTAGAACACACGAGCCATGAGAATATGACTTTTGATACAGATCTTACACGACCATAAAAGATATCACTCCAAATGAAAGTGTTGTTCTCGATTCCACCAAGGTCAGAAATATTTTGCCTAAATCTAGTTAGAACCAGCATATTGTGTACTTTTTTTAACATGATCTTACAAGTTTTATCTCATTTCTTTTTACAAGACTACTGAGACAACCTTTGAAAGATCTAAAAAAATAAGTTTGAACAGAACGTGTGAACCAAAGTTTTTGGTGCAAATGGTTGTTCATTTTGATCTGCTTTGAAGTGTCGCAGACAAATCTAAAAATATGGATGATGATTAGAATTTTTTGCTCTTTTTAAAAATGAGCTATTTTCGTTCGAGATTAGTGAAGATATTTTTTTACAGTTCAAAAAATTAGATTGAATAGTGAATCAATAGGTTTTTATTAACCCCTCAATATTCCCTTTTGAATGTACCACAAGTTATTGGAGTCGATTGTTTTGCTGAGTGGACACTTATTTATAAACTCTTTTTTTAAACTAAGCTGTGACTTTTACCTAAGTTAAACTATCGACACTTTTCCAGGAATTTCTTCTCTATACAAAAGTCCTTTGGATAAAAAAAAAATTGAACTGATCTGTCGAAAGACAAAAAAACTCTAATAGTACATTTTGTAGGGTATGTCAATATATCGATGTGAAAATCTGCAAGATGATATAATTTTATTTAAAACTCATTTTTTGAAAAACAGAAAACATTTTTATCTTGTAGACGATTCGATCTGCTCTATAATCTGAGTCGTTCCAAAACGTTTTTTCTCAGAATGTCTGTTAGTCTGAAAAACCTACATCTAATGGTCTAAGGGAGCTTCTTATGGTCATATCAGAAATTGGCATGATCAATAATTCAGTAGGTTTTGGTGAGGATGTAATGGATTAGTTGAAAACATTTTCTTGTAAGATAAGAAAATCTCAAACTCATTTATCTGCTATATCACTTCAAAGTAATATTTTCTCGATGAAATAAATCATTACTATTAATCAAATATTCAGGAAGACAATTAAAATTGATGAATACAAATAAAGGAAAATTTCTCAATATTAATGCTGAATTTACGTAAAAATCGTTAGAAAAATTCTTGAGCGTGACACATATTAAAGATTGACAATTTCATTATTGGAAAAATCTCGATAATAACCAATGAAATAATGATAATATTCTTTACCTATTAAAAACTTCCAGGGAAATAAATATTATTTTTATATTAATTTTCAAAAAACAATTAATTACATAGTCAACTTTACTCTTGTCTACGTTTGTGTCGAATGATTTCTATTATTCATTATTACCTATGCAGCGTTGTTTCCATCAAAACTGATGATTAGCCGCGATTATTTAACAAACTCTACATTCAAGCGGTTTACAGTTAGGTTTTTTTTACTAACTTTCTACTTATTTCTCTTTTCATGTGGCATTATATGGTTTGAAAATATCGATTTACGACGTCATAATAAGTCATGTCAGAGAGCGCTACATATTTTTCTACTGATAACGTCATCTGATTGATAACTATTTTTGTGAGACTATCTTTATTAAATAAAAAAAAAACTCGAAGACTATGTTAAAACAGTGGGTTTGAGTGGTACAGCTGGCATAAACACATTCCGCCTACGTAGGAAGCAATGATGATGATTCAAATCTGAGAATTTTTCAAGAGTTAAAAAATTTTCATGTGTTTTGATTTGGCCATCGAACAGTAATACTAGAGCAATAAGAACGACGGCTTATTGGAGATATACTTCTCAGCAGTCTAATCGGTATTCCGATAAGTTACCGTCGGCTTTTGCATAGATGGGAAAACATGAATTGTTTATTAAATTATACTCTGAGATCTTCTTATGATTTAATCATGAAGGACGATCAGCCAAAATCTCAGTCGTTTGGATAGAGACGAAGTCAAACATATATGAATATCCGGACACTTATGACGATATTTTGTGCACTTACGACATGATATGAGTTTGAACAGGATTTTTCAAATGCTTCGCATAGAAATTCTATAACTTATTATTTATGAATGTAGACAGTATGTGACTCGTAAAATATTCATTTTACTTTTCGTGTCTGATATGCACTCACAGCGGAGATATGTATGACTTGAAAAAATATTTCATTTCTTCTTCTCAACACTTAATTAATGAACAGTGGGTTTAATAGACAACAAAAGACAGTATAGTTGAGCAACTAAGCTATTCCTGAAAACAATTTGTAATACTGTTCATCCGAATAGAGCTCATCGGATCTCGAAGACGTCTAATGGTCTCTACATCCAAGTGAGGAGAGTCGACCAAACTGGACAAGAAGGTCGAAACGTGTCAAATGAAAAGCATTTTTTGATCAAACGTCCTCTATGAATACCTTCTTATTTGAATTAAATACTAATTGAAAAGTTACTACATACTATATCAATTGTCTCTATATATATATGTTTCACAAAATCATCATCATAAAAAGATAAAAGATCATTGGCAAATGATATTCAGTCTTCTTGTAATATCATCTACCAATGTCTATTAAATCTACATTGTGATACGAACGAATTCAATTCAATATTTGTAACATCAAAAAACCCATTTAAGTTCTTCATCTATAAATCAAAGAGAAAAAAACAACAGCAAGAATGATTTTTTTCGTGAAAAATAATACAAAAAAAAATATAATTAATATCACTGATTATTTGTCTTTCTTAATTTTAAAGCGAATTTTGCTGCTACAAGAAAATGATCTGAAGCAAATTGATGATTTGGAATATGAACATTTATCATTTGATTTTGTTTATATAAATCGAAACGACTTAATAAATTTAATCTATATGGATCATCATTTTGTTGAGTATAAAATATATAGTCAACTAAGTTTGGGTTATCACCAGCATTCGTTGTTACATCTAATGAATTATTTAAATCATAAACTGATTGAAATTGTTTATTATGTGTTAATATTGCTGATGCTTGTTGATCGATATGTTTTTGAAAAGTCGTTTCATTATTTGATGTTGACAAACGACAATCAGAAGTAACAAATGATGATGGAAGAAGTTCATTTGATGGTAATTGACGAGAAGAACAATTATTGACGATTGAACTTTCTGTTTGACCAGATATTTCAATACAACGATAATCATCATATTTAATATATTGATTCAATAGAAATTGAATAAGCGGTGATTGAGGTTGAGCATTGAAATCACCACATAAAATTATTGGATAATAAGAATCTGTGTATGGATCTTTTGTCGCTAATCGATCAATTTCAGCAAGAAAATATTGTAATTGAGCTAATTTAATATCACCACGTTTTGGTGAAAAAAGTAAATGTGTTGTTGCAACACAAAAGATATCATCGGATGAAATATTAGGACCAATTGGTTGAAAAAGTGCAATTAAACCACAATTATCTCTAAAATAACAATAAATTGAAGATTAGAAGCATATCAACTTTTTGCCCTAGCAAAAAGTAAAAACTAAACTTTTTAATTTTCATAAAGTGACTTAGTCATAGAGTGCATTGCTCATAGTTTTAACATCTGTACTACGGTGAGTAATTTGGAGATCAATAAATCAACTTTAATACTAACATTTTTTTAATCATATGAATATATAGACGAAATTAACAATATGGCAGATGTTTGCAACTATCTGAATAATCTTTCACAAAAATTAACGTATTAGAGAATTGAAACATTTTGGTACAATTGATATTTTAGAGAATCTACAACATAGCTTTCTTTCGTATACCGAACGACTTTAATATTATCTTTTTAAATCTATTTTGTTGGAACTTCTCTACACGGACACCAGATTTCATGTTTCTATTTTGTACCGTTTCTAATCCATGTCATAAATTTGTTCCCCCTAGCGCTGGTATACCTGCAGTAAAGTTCTGGTCAGATGACAACTAAAAGTAAACCGTGACAGAATGAAGGTTAGGGGAAAGCCGACTATTTAACTATCACATTACTGCCGTTTGGTTGCTGGTATACCGATTGTTTTTGTCTGGTATGAATCACATAGGTAAGTCATGTGGTAACTTAGACACCACTCTATCGAACTATGTGGTTCACTGATCTATACATCTGTGTGTTTGTATACTTCCGCTCTCAGCATTCGATGACAGACGCTTTTCTTTTCTATGCACAGTTACGTAAAATCATTGTTTCTCCTAGTTATGAAAAACTTGAATAGGAAACTAATATATGAAAATATAGAGAACTTTTTAAATATAAAAATGTATACATTTTCTGGTTTGTATACTAGAGAAAAAGGGACCGGAGTATCCATAATAGTATAGTCAATTTAATCATTTTGTCAAGTGAGATTTTGAAATTCGTTTGTTCCGATTTCATTCAAACTTTTAGGTTGCATAGAACCCAAAAAGTTAAATTAACGATTAAAGTGTCAACTCCTAGCATTACTATTTATAAAATATTCACATTATGTCTCGCCGAGGTTAAAAAAAAAGGCTTTTTTGATTCCTTTCTGGTTTTCCACTATTTGATGTGTTAACATCTATTTTTTTATTAACAAATAAAGCTTCACTTGTCCATATTGTATTACAGATAGAATTCTTCAATCTGCTAATCCTAGGCTTGACGAACAGCATTTTATTTACCGTAGGCACGATCAAGGGGGAAAAGCAGATCCTGGTGGATCCCAGGATCCATCAGGATGCATCAGGATCCATCAGAACTGCTTTCCATCTATCAATGTAGATTGATTTTTTTGAATATCCACAAAAGCAAGGAAATCAATGAGATTCATAAAATAAGAATGTGTAATTCAAAACATGTTCTGAATGAATCAATGCGATCATCATGCGTCTTTTATACAACCTTGACTAGTTTCGCTTACAAAGGAAAAAGGGACCCTGATTCATCTCACTATCTATTGGAGTTCATGTGATTTCATTAGAATGCATGGAAACAAAGTAAAAAGACGAGGAATCAGCAGCAGCATTTTTAAAACTCTAAAAAGCGAGAAAAATGAAATCTTGGAGACTGAAATTCTGATGGCTGGTGATGAAGTTTTGATTATCTGAATGAATTCTATAGTTTATACGAAGGAATATAATGTATCAAGATCCAGGTTTTCCCCATTGGTTTCAGATTATTATCAAGCTTGTTAGCGTCTACTGAATTCTTGTGGATTTCAATGGATTGTAATAGATAGTGTTGCATTTTCGATAAAGCAAATCTCTTCTATTTTTGAGCTAGATCTCCGGCAAATGCAACTAGGATGTTGCACAAATTTCCTTTTTTTGTGGGGGAACGAGAAAATGGTACTTAACCACGAAATTTTAAGGTACTGATCGAATTTGTATTGTGATGCAATAAAGATCATAAGCAGTTTATTATCATTTTCTAATCTTTCAAGAAGCTATGACATTTTGAGAAAGGGATGTAGCAACAGAATTTAAATATTTCGACAAGATTCACAAAAGTATTCTGTGAGGATCCTGAGCAGTTTGCCAATACGATGTAAACACGGAACAAGTGAAGGCAACAACCATTTCTTAGAAAAATTGGTACGCACGAAATAAACACAATTTTGTTAAGTTAGAGCAAGATCTCAGAGGCATTCTCAGCCCATTCTCGTTGATTGTGTATCAAGATCTTTACAGAATTTCAATGGTTTCTAATTGAAAAATATATTCGGATTGCACCTTGCATGATTCTACTATGATTCTTTAAGGATGTTATCAGATTTTCTGTCAGGATCTCTGCAGAATGCTTCGAAAAGAAAAAAGGAAAAATGAAGACAGAGAGTATTGATCTCTACATCTTCAGTTTACAAACCGATCAGTTTACCGTAGTAGACTGTAATATGCTATTGAATTTCACTGAAACCTTCGATATCTTAAATTCTCTCTGAAATATTAACCTTTGTTTGAACTAGGCAACTATAATTTATTGTAAGTGAAATTCGAAATCTTCAGTATTAAATTTAATATATGTATTACTGATCATGAAATTGTATTATTTTTTGTTGATTTCAGTTTGAATAAAGAAGTATTTTTCTGATTTCTTTAAACGCATAAATGAAATACAGTATAAGTTTTTTTTTTATAAAGGACTCATCTTTTGCTTGAAAAGGTTGTTTAAAGAAAAAGTTAGTGCAACAGCTAAACTGATAATGAAATCTCCATCCTAATGAGTTTTCAAGTTGTATGTGAAAATACAATCTAAAAAATAGCTGGGTTCCTTGCCGTGAATGTCAATTCATGTTCAATACAAATCTTCAAAAGATCTGAAGAAGAATCGTTGAATGTGCAAGTGAACATTAGAATAAATTTCAGATATGTCTTTGAACTCTTAGATTCCTCTCAAAACCGGAACAAAACACAAATTAACATCTTGAGTGGTTTTTCCTTTTGCAGCTGTTAATGTTTTACTTAACATAAACAGCGTAATTTCTTGCGATTCATAAGTTCGAAAATCTTCAAAAAATCTTAAATAGGAATTAGTTAAAATTTTTGTGAAACCGTTTCATAATTTATTTTTCAAAG